TTAAAATGTTTCGATTTTTAGTCAAATTTTCAGCATTTTTGCAATAATAAAAAGTATATTTTTAATTATAATTCTTTTTAAAGTGTCGAAATAAATTTATTTTTAAATTGTAGAATTTTTAAAAAGATTATTGGAAATTTACTTCTCGAATTCCCAAGAAATTTTTAGTTTCTTTATTCAAATACCAACCGATCCTCGTTGTGGAAATTTCTTTCTCCTTCACCCCGAATTTGAACAATTCAAAGGTTCTCTTTTTCGAATCGGTTGTTTTATAAATATGGAAAGGAGAAAGGAAGGAATGAAGGACAGTTGTGAGGAACAGTTTGATATGACAACATTGCCAGCACAGTTTGTTGCCAAATTTACATATTTTGATCAAATATCGTCGGAATTTTGATTTTTCGTCAATGAATTCTAACAATAATTAAATAGATCAAATTTTGGTTTCTAATTTTTATTTCGTAGCATTCACTATTTTCGCTTGGGTTAGGTTCGTTGTACTGGCTATAGCCGGCACATTGCATTTAGGAAATTTCAGCCAAACAGTCAATCACTGAGAGATAGAAGTGAGTGCCTAACATCCACTCGGATTTCTCTTCAGTGACCAATGGGCGACAGATTTATTCCTTATTGCCAGGGGTGACACGGTGGTCTACGAAATGTACGAGATGTCGTTGATGTTAACCCACTTTCTGTGTTACTTTATTAAGAATGGCAAAGAGCTTTAAGAGGAGTGAGAATCAGAATTAAGCATGGAATGCCATCCCAAATACTAAGTAATCTTAAATATAAACAACGGTGGCAACGGTGATGGCAGTGCCATTTCTCATAAAATCGTTTTCTTTCCCTGCATTTTTTTCGTTTATTCCCATGCATCAAAGATTGTAATTTCGCGAAATATTGCGAGAAAAAAATGAACGGTTCAAAAATTATATGGAAATATTATGAAATTCAAGTCAACAAGGCCGAAAATTTTGCGTTTTTCGATCAATTTATCATGAAATTCTGAATTAAAAATACTCTCGAGCATCAAGTTAAAATAGAAATAAATAGCTGTTTTTCATAAAGCTAGTGCAACAATAATAAAACAACTGCTGCTCCTCAGTTTGTGAAATCCGACTTCTTAACAAAATTTTATGGCATTCGCAAAAAAATTATCAGCATATTTATTTGCTCTATCAATCAGTAATTGATAAGCGATAAGTGATGGAAATGTCTCACCATTGCATTCGATCATATCACTAGTCACACAGGTTATTAGGCGTAGAATAAGCCTTAAAATCGAGTGGACTCGACCGATTTAGGAAATCGCCGAATAGTTAACCATTTCTTTTCGAATTTTGTAATTTCCTCTTTCATCAGCAACGGTTTATTTCAAATAATTTTTAGAATAATAAAATTTATGATCAATAATAGATCGTCGAATTATTGAATAATAATAATTGTAATAATTGTTTACTTTGATGAAATGATAATCTTTAACTTTCATTTTATCCATAAAAACTGAAAATATTGGGAATGAAATGAAATAATTTATGGCCTTTTTTGTTTCTTATAAATTGGCATATTTTCCAAAAATTTTCAAAAAAACACGATAAAAATAAACAAACAAATATTAAAATAAATGAATTTTTAGGAAAGGGACGCTCTTTAGGCAAAATATCTTATAAATTATGCTAAATTCAACATGGAAAAATAATAGCTTACAGGGAATTTGAAATGAAGTAAAATATCCAAAGTCCTGGACTCTACTCGTCATAATTCGTATTTAAAGCAGACTTGAGGCCGATAAAGGAGATTCTTCAAGAGCCGTTATGTTCGTTCGTTCAGCTGGGGCGACAAACATCATGGACTCGATTACGATGGCATGGAATTTTGACAAAAAACAAGATGCGAAGTGGATAAATCCAGCTGCTATCCCCAGACGACTATTGTTATTCAACAAGCCGGAAATGATGTTTAATGCTCGAAGAAGAAAAAGCAGAGTCTATCGCTCAAGCCTCATGCTGCTTGTCGCCACCTGAGAGAACAGAGGACTCTTGAAGAACTTGCTTCGCACCAATTCGCACCAAATACAATCCTCCTTTATGCGATAAATTTTGAGCAATAAATGGTCAGCGGAGGTGGTATATTATGGCTATCGATTTCAACGAACAGAAATAAAATCAGAAAGGATCGCTTAAACGCGAACACGCCGATGACCATTTACACAAGTGATTAACTGATATAATTGCTCGTAAAGTGGTCAGTGAATTCGACGATTGGTCACTTTTATGATGGATTTATTTGTATCAAAATAAATTATCGTTAATCGCTGAAAAGAAACGACATTGACCTTTATAAAATACGATACGATTAGTTGAAATTTTGTGTAAAATATGCGATTTACGCGATTTAAATTCTGTCGCATTGTCGCGTTTATTTCTTATTGCTTACCAACAATAAAATTATTTATTATTATTTCAGTCAGAAATATAATAATTTCAATAAATAAAATTTATGGGAAATAAAAAATACTGCAAGTATTTTCACAATATACTGAATTTTATCGGAAAAATTTCCTATAGACTCGTTTTAGAATTGGAGCCCATTCAGTGGCTCTCTGAATTTAATTTAAAGAGGGGCAGAGTAGCCGAGTAGTTGTTGTCGCTTAGCGAATATCATTTCGAACGTCATGGCTCAGCTCCTGCCAGTGGTGGTGTCTTTATGTGGTCCTTTCGAAAAAATACATATCCCATTAATAACTAACCAAGTCTAATCTAATTTTAGTGATACAAGACTAACGAGAAATGACGTTATTAGTTTATTTCCTGTAGGCTTAAAATTAAGCTAAGCCAATAGGCTTTGTACGCAGCTTTGCCCTTATGGAAAGGGTTTTCTTAACGCATCCGATGAAATAAATGTAGTTGTTCAGGCAAAATACTCTTCGCATTATATCTTAAAATTTAATAAGACTATAGTCTTAGAGGCATGGAAGGCACGTTAGCCGAGTGCTTAGCACACAACTAGCCAAGTGATTATCGCCCTTATGAAATATAAAAAAAGGAATATTGGAATGGAAAAAAATATTGGTAATATTAAATCTAAAATTGGTAAGATTAATGAAACAATAGAAACAATAAAGCGTTATTAGATTCATGAGATGTAAATGCAAGTTTCCATGTATTTGCCACTGCCATGCAACTGCCAACACTTCTTCCGTTGCATTCAACTTCAGTCAGTCTTACAGTTTACAGTTTCAGCCTGAGATTTTTTATTCTTTTCTTCTTCTTCTAACAGCTCTCATCATTGCTGGTTAGGCTGAGTCCGCTGGCTACAAGAGTAAGACGCCTCCAAGCTGCCTGGTCCAACGCCATCAGCAGTAGTAGTAATAAAAGCCATTTTTTCTTCCATCGTCTAAGTCCATATATTGCTGGTCCCTCTATACGTTCAAAATCTTTCCTAACCGTATCAGTCCAGGTCCTGATTGGCCCACCTCGCTTTTGACGCCAGGCATCACACGCTTTAGCAAGTAACGAAATGTAATGGACGACGGAGAACGTGCCCTAACCAGCGAAGGTGACGCTCTGTGACTTTATATAGTCTCTCATTATTAATGCAGGTGGTATTTGACTGCATCCACCTTCGCTCAAATACCACCAAAAAAAAGCCACCTTTTTGATTTTGTATTTTCTTCTCCTAAATCGTCTCTTTTATTCGAATTTAGCAAAGCCCTGGCAGCTGTTTTCTACAAAAATATCACCAAACGCGGTGCAAGTCGTATGTTTGCTTCAGCTAAACGAGCACTCCCCATTCTATAAATCAGCCGACAAATGTCTCCCTTCTTCATTTTTACTGTGCTATAAATCTTAATTTCCATAATAACTTTTAACAATTAACAAAATTCAATTAAAAACCCCGTTTTTTTTAAAATATGGCAGTTAAATCGAATTGAATTTGGCAACAACTAACTAAACCGCAAATCTTTTCAAACAACTCGAATTCACAAAAATTTATAATTTTTTAAAAATGCAACTGCGCCGAATTCGAGCTCGTCAATTACGATTTATATAGTCTCTCATTTTTAATTTTCAGAAAAAATCTTTCAACATTTTTACAAAAATGACTGAACGAATGCTTTTATTGTTTTTTTTACGAAAAATTCCAATGAATATGACCACAATTTTCAAAAATGAATCAACCAATTTCATCGCAAAAAAAATTGCAATTTACTAGATTTAAGGTGTCAAATTTGCATGAATTATTTATTTAATTTATATTGTTATGTAATAAAATTTGCGCAATAAATTTTGCTATTTCAATAAAAATTACTGACAGCCAAGAATCTAATTTTCAAGAAATCATTCAATAATTAAACCTTCTTCTTATCCCAATATTACTTATATTTTACAATAATTTAATAATAATCACTAATATTTCGAAAAATTCATTAAATAAATAAATTTACCAGAGAGACTCGTTTTTTTGTAAAATAAAATTTAGAAAATCTAAATCATTTTTTTTACTAATAAGGAGATTTAAAACTAAAAAAGTTAAAAAATGCGCTTTTAAAACAGGATTATCAAAAAGTTCTACAGGAAATAATTATCCAAAATAAAAATTATGCAAAAATTTAAAACAACGCAATAACAAACAAAAACAAAAGATATTTCATTAAAACAATCTTTTTATAAGCCTATTTCCCTCAAAAATTTCATTTTAATAATAATTTTTTCAAAGTAAAAGAAATCAGAAATATGAAAAAGTATATATAATATATAAAATTTTAATAGAATGAAAAAACAATATTGCGAAACAGAGATGAAATTTTAAAATTTCTCAAAAAAAATGATTACGTTAAACAATATCCTTTGTTTCACCATTTTTGAAATCTGAAGCAAACCTTTTTCGTCGACACAGAAAAATGCAAATGATATTTTGCAGGCACAATTATCACAGCCTGCCATTGTTACTTGAGGTAACCAATAACTTCAAATTTGAAAATGCTAGAAACAAATAAATTAAAATAAAGAATCCATATTCCCCCTCTGCGTTGATTTGAAGGCTCCGATATCCCGTCTTGATGAAATGCTTGTCTGGGATGTTATTCCCCAAGCTGGTCCATCGGGCGCAGATCCAGATGCTGTTGGCCGCTTGAAACCCTGCAACTTCGATATTTTTTGAGGATAAAATAAAGTAAATTACCGATAATATTTAGTTAAAATATTTCCTTATAAAAAAATATTAAAAAATGCAAAAGCATCATAAGAAATTGAATTAACGGTATATATCTAAGATTTTAAACAAAAGAAAATGGAAAGAGAATTTAAAAAGAATTTAAAAAAAGAAATTATATTATTTTATGGTAATTATATAAACATTTTAACTATATCTCAAAAAAATTTGAATTATTTGTGTATATGCCATATATTATGTATCATCACGTAATATATTCATACTTTGTTGATTTTAAGGTTGCGTTCTCGCGGTTTTAAAATACCTAAACATAAAGAGAAATAAACAGGAGAAACATAACGACTAAATTCATTAATGAATAGTAGGAAATGAATAAAAAATACTTTCATGCTGCGACTTGTTGCTTTCGCATTGAATGATAACCACTTTTTCTTTTCTTCTTCTTTTGCTTCTTCTAATTCTTTTTTACGATTTTCTTTCTTCAGAGCTCGCATTTTTCTGCGTTCTCGTTCCATCTATAGTAATTTAATCAGAGAGAAATTAAAAAATTTAGAAAAGAAATATTTCATAGAAGATTTTAATAGATTTTAAATGAAACCTGCCACTCGCTTTTGCGATGATGTATGCTCTTGGATTTCTCCCAAATGAATGGTTTATTATCATCCTTTGCTGGCAATAAATCACTCAATTTCACCATTACTTTCGTTCCACGACCTTAGAAAACAATTTTTGCAGGTTTTAAATAAAAATTTTCATGATGAATTCATTTCTATATCAAAGTAAATATATTTTGACCGACTTATTTCGACTTAAATAGAATATGAATTAAATTTTATACATATATATATTCCATTATTAACTGTATCTCGAAAAAATTTGAATTATATGCCATATATTATTTATCACCATGTAATACATTCAAACTTATTTTATTGATTTTAAGGAAAATTACCGATAATATTTAGTTAAAATATTTTCTCATAAAAAATTTTAAATTTTCACACTAGGAAAATCAAATAAATAATACCGACAAATGTGACAGCAACACTGCCTTTAGCGAAGCCGTCAATCACAGCTGCGTACTTTTGACCGTTCGAAGATGGAGCCATACATCGGTCACCAACCTATTAAAATAAATATAACCTTTAATACATTTTATGACTTTTATCTCACGACTGGAAAAGAAATTCAAAAATTATAGAAATTTCAAAATAACTTGTAAATTTCCAATAATTTAATAATTTTAGAATCGAAGCAAATATTTACGGAAAGGTTTCAACGTTCGGAAAATTTTAAAAAAATCCTAAGATCTTATTTCCCAGAGTACCGACAAATTCTAGATCAAACAGGCTAAAATTTGGACCCCGAAAAACAAACAATAACAATAAATACAACAGATTAGAATAGAAAAACAATATGAAAATAAAACAATATGAAAACAATATCAAGATCTGGACTGATACAGTCGGAAAGATTTTGAACGTATAGATATATCAGCGACATATCGACTTAGACGGTGGAAAGAGGAATGGCATCTACTACCATAGCAATGGCACCGCATCGAGCAAATTGGAAATCTTTTGGGCAGCCTAACCAGTAATGGTGAGAGCTATTAGAAGAAACAATAGATCTAGAGTCTGCTTTTGGCAATTAGGCGAGTAATTTCTTTGAACGCGCCTCATGAGAAAAATATAAGACAATTTTACAAATCATACTAAGATTATTAACAAGTATATTGCAAGTATATTTGCATTATTACAAGTATATTTTCATAAGAGATAATATTGCTTCAGTAAAATTTGCGATATGATTAATTTTAAACTATTCTTTATTTACTTAATTTATTAATATATTTGCATTATTTTTTGGTTCCAGATCGACGAATCATGAATGCTTTAGCAAATCCATTCTTCATTTAAACAATAATCTGTTATTTTGTGTTTTCTTTATTTCTTTATATCTTTCTTATTTATTAAGGCTCCTCTGCGTTAAAACCGACCTCATAAAGTAAGAGCCATAAGAGAACACTCTTTCGCGCTCCTTAAAAAGGTTAAAATTCTAATTCGATTCTTCACGAAGATGAATAAAAGGTTGTAGACAATAAAAGTAAAGTAAAAACAAAGAAATGTATAGAATAAAAAATCAACCTTCCATGAAATTTCGGCTATCGGTTCTGAATTCGATTCAGTATTCTTGCTGCTTGACTGATCAGCCGATTTGCTGAGTTCTTCTTGTAAAGTGATGATTTCAATTAAATCTTCTTTAAGCTTCAGCAATTCTTCATTATTTGGATCACCGATAAGCGCTGCTTCAACCTTTTTAAAATTCATTCAATAAAATTCATAAGAATTATAAAAGAATTATAAATTTCTATAAAATGCATTGATCTGGTTTTAAATAAAAATTCGTTTGTGTAAAAAAACTGAAAAAATTAAAAATGAAAAAAGGAATACATGTTCCAACTGCAGCCGATAACTAGCCAATTCTTCAATTTCGCTCATTTAGAATAAATCGGAAAAAAGCGCTGAAAAAAATTTGATTAAGAATGCTTATTAAAAGCGGAAATAAATTTAACGAATTTGCACGGTAAGTTAATTAAATAAATTAATTAAATGAAAAAAATAACCGATAAATAAACGAATAAAATTGGAAAAAAACGCCGAAAACTTCACTCTTTAGAAAAATTCCGAATTTTTTATTTATCTAAATAATCAATTAATTACTTAATTAAAAACCGAAAAAAAATCTGAGCCATACATTTCTTTTAGCCAATTATAACTAAAAATAAGAAAAATTAGAGAACCTATCGAATCAAAAAATAAAAAATACCGAAAGCGAGAAATCGCTTTAAGACCAAAATTTTGAACTTTTGGTAACTCTTGGTAATGCATCTGTAATCCAATGCGCTTCACAATTTCCAATATTTTATTTTATATTCAGTTGGACTTCAAGCAAATCCACAGCATCTTCTACATCTCATAAGCATGTATAATCTTTAGATCATTCATGATCGCAGATAGACCAAGCAGATTATTTAATTTCGTGATCACTAATGTGCGTTAGCAACATCTTCCAACAGCTCTTACCGTTACTGGTTAGGCTGACTTTTAGCCACGAGGGTAAAACGTCCTGAGTTGTGCGATCTGATGCCATCGTCGATAGTAATAGAGTCCATCGATATCAACTTTTGTAGCGAAGAATGTGTTCTAACCAGCGAAGACTGCGCTTTTTGATAGCACTATTAATGCAAGTGGTATTGTATCTGAACGAAGGTGGATGCGATCATGTGAGATTTTACACACTCGGCGAACCCGTAAAATATGTCTTAGACAAGAGTGGTCAAAAGCAAATAACTTCGTAATATCCACTCTCATTGGCCATATCTCGCAGCCATATAGCAAGAACGAGCTATACAAACGCGGACTTTCGGTGTTATAGTGATTTCGCGACGATATCATACTATAATAATAAAGAGGAAAACATGAAAATATAAAATGGAACGAATAAAAATGAATAATCATATTTAACTTACTTTAACAATAACAATAACAATGAAATTTTTCCAAGCAGGTAAAATTTCTTCTATTATAAAGCTAACGCTTCTGATTTATAAATAGATTTATGCAACTTCAAAACGTTATTTCCAGTGACATTGCGACTTAAGCCAAAGCAATAAAATTTTACACATTTTCTGCTTAAAGAAAAGAAAAATTTAGATTACATTTAATTTGTAATCAATAGAAATAAGAAAAAATTATGAATATTATTTTGTAAATTATAAAAAAATATAATAAAAGAATGAAAGAGGAAAAATTTGGTATTTTTTACTTTTTATTTATTTCCACTTTTTTAAATATATGCCGAAACTTTTACTTACTGGTAATGCCTTTATAAAATTTGAAATTTAGCATTCTTATCGATTATAACGAGTAATTATTCCATTCCACGTTTCTCTGAGTCTGAATTTTGTTATATTCATATATTAAATTACATTCACATTCTATTAGGCTAGGAAGACTGCATTCTATAAAGTTATATATACTGATACGGGCAATTTCTATTTTTATTTGCTCAGGAGAAGAAAGATAAACTGTGGAAAGACGAAGTCGAGGATCACAAATTTCCGTCTATATGCGGCCTACTCAGTTGACTAAAACTTCTAATCTCATATTACAACCATTTGAGCATCGACGGATGACTTAAATATCCACGTTTAAAATTTCAGTTACGAGAAAGTTACGAGAAAGAGCCTAATAAATGCAAGTGCAATAACAAAAAATATACGAATACATGCCAAAATAATGAATAAGAAAATTTGATTTTAATAACGCAAAAACTTAACGATACTGGACAACACTGTTAAATATCTCACTTTGGCTAAATAACACAAATTCTAAAGAAATCAAATTTTTTGAAATACCATAAATTTTTATTGATTGTTCGACGAACTATAAATTTTTATTGATTGTTCGACGACGACTAACGAACTCTTCACCTTTCCTTTTTTTTATTGAAAAACGCTTATCATTTTGCCAATTAATATTGAATTTAATTTTAGAAACTTCTTCTTGAATAAGTTTCTTCATGAACCAAGTATCTTTAAAGTCAGGAAAAGTGCTGATTACTTGACCTAAAATACCATTTTTTAAGTAAAATAAATTAGTAAAATTTCGAATATGCATAAAATATGAAAACTTTTAATTGCTCTCGGGGTTCTAACCTTTCAACATTTTCGAAAAAGTGTAGGCCATTATTTTTCGTAAAGGGCGACCAAGTTTATTTCGACAAACACTCATATCAGAATATGGATCAAAAATTGGAAGAGTCACAGTTCCTTGCAATCGACTCCTATAAATAATCTACCATTATGAGATGATTTATGAAGTTTTGAAATACAATGAACTTTTTTTAATAAGTTTTTAATAAATTTTTAATAATTTGCGATAATCCAGTGCTTAGAAAATATTTTGAAAAAAAAATGGAATATGATATTAAATCGCATAAAATAAATTATAGTTCAATATTATCATCTTTTACTAATAAATATAAGAATAATTTACAATAAAGAAAAACAAAACTGACTTTAATTTGTCTCTTTCAACTTGTGTCCTATCAATGAATAACGGCATAAATAATCCTATATTGGTATAATAATGAACAAGAGCAATTGCCAGTTCACCTGTGGTCATCGCATTATCGCTCTTCCACTGAAATGCGCTGAAAATTGGTTACGCAAAATATAATAAATGACATTTTTTCCGCAGCAAAAATAACCAGTATAATGCAAATTCATAATCTGTGGTTATTAATAATATGGTCTTTATATGCTGATTATTAAAAAAATATTCCTATCTGAGCTTATTAGAATAAAAGGGGAATTTTTTGAGTGAGGTTGACATAAAATAAGAATATAATTACAAATAAGAGTATAATAGCGAAGAAACATGAGGCTTTTTTTAGCACCATATTTCATATGGTCCCTACGAAAAAAAAAACGAATTAATATACACTGTTGGATGAAGCTGATGAAATGGAGATGAAATCATATTGACAACATGTTCAATATCCAAATCCGGACCAACGAGATTTTGATACGATTCTAATAAGGTCGGAAGAACCGGTGCTGGCATCATCTAAAAGAAAATACAATTATTAAGCCACAAAAATACTTGAGCAAATGAGAATTAGGTGCCTTTAAGCTACTTCAATCTGCTATTTCGTTATTAAATTGATAAAAAATCGGTCTAAAAGAGTTAATTCTTTCCTTATTTTCTAGAAATTTCTATGATTAAAACAAACTACTAAATGAAGACATTCCAAGTGAAAAATTTTCGAAATCTTTGTTCACTTTAAATTAAGTCTATTGTGAAGAATACTAAAAGCGATAACTTTTGTGACTGTAGAAAATGGGCAACAAGACAAGCAATATGATAGCTAGAAAACAATCCAGCCATACTATCACGAATTCCAAGTGCATCGAAAAGTGTTCTTAACCATATGTAAATTTTTCTAAATCGCGAATCTGCCTAAAATAAATATTTTCTTTCTAAATTAATTTTTTAAAAGTTAGTAATATTATAATTAAATATATAGAATATAATAAGAAATATAATATAATAATATAATATAATAAGAATATAATAACATAATAAGAAATATTTTCTTTTCAATTTTTAGGCAAATTAAATTTTTAAAATAAAATTTTTCAGCGAATTAAATTTTTTCACTGGCATATTTTTTCATTTAAATTATAAATACATGATTTTTAGTGATCATGTTTAGTCAGAATTAGTCAGAATTAATATCGGCTTTAACATTTAAAATGAAGTTACTCAAAAAATTATTTTAGTAACCAAATATGATGACAATCATCCAAAATCAGTTTAATCGGCATATATTGTTAAAAATATGAATTTTTGAAAGCAATTTGTTAAAAAGTTATATAAACTGAAAGAAATTTTAAATGATAGAAAAAAGCATATATAGAAACTGAATAACTAGCCATAACATAATGCCTCATCAAATTAGTATTCCTAATCGCATGAAAATTAATATCATTCGGAACTAATATATTGACTTTGTAACCATTTTTGAAATATAATATAAGAAGTGGAATTCTCGTTCGATCAAGAATTAAACATTTATCAGAGATAAGATTCTCTAGACCGATATCGGAATTCTTTTGGATTGTGCGGAACATCTCCCACATGAATGATCTATAAAATTTTTAAAATTTATAGCAGATAACTGAATTTCTCGTATTCTTGAAAGCATTTGAATAGCATTTCTTGAATAAATCAAAATCAATCCGATTAACCGATAAGCAAAAGAAATTTCAGTAATTATAGTGCAAATCAAAATATCAAATTATTATTAAGATATTGCGAAAAGAAAACGAAATCACCTCCGAAAATCGAAATTATCACGAATATCCGAACAGAACTTCGCACGTTGTTCAGCACTGACTGTCGGAAAGAACTGCAAATCTATATCCGAATTCTCATCAACAATAAGCGAAGTCGATAATGAGCCAAAACAGATTAATTTCGATTTAGACGAACAAATAATTTTTTCAATTTTTTCGATGAATTTCTTCTTTTTCGGAATGCTCTGAAAATAAATTTTTAATTTCTTTTAAAAATTGAGACGAATTATAACGAATTCTAAATAAGAATTTTTACGTTACGATAATCCACGATTATTATCGCCAAACGCCGCGTATAATGCCAACATCAGTGACCCTTTTTGAAGTACTTTCATAGCCTCGTTTTCCTCATAAAATCCAATATTTTCCGAAATATTCAATAAACGAAACGAACGGACTGGAAAACTGGAAATCCACGCTAGTACCACAGGAGGGCAATGGGAGAGGGCAGATTAACCATCCACCGAAACCTGTGAAATATCTCTCACAATAAGCGGGAAATGTCCCCGCCTTGGCTAACTGACAGGTGCCAAGTTTTTTTTGAAAGAAAATCTCTAAAAAAAATAAGAGAATTTTAGTTACTCAAAAGAATGCATTTCTTTTAGTGAATTAATTCTCAAAATTGGCGATAAGAAAAAAAATTTAAATTTACCCGCTGGAAATTCAGAAAGCTTTTATTCGCGACACTGTCGATTTTTTGCGATAAAATTTCAACTTTATTCGCATGTCGCTGCATAAGTTCCACAAATCTTTTTCCGCCATAACGATAACTCATTTTCCTTTAAGAAAAAAACCAATTCCACGACGATTCGAAGTCGAATTCAGTTGAATTTTTATTTTTTGGGAAAATCGATTAAATTATAGCAAAAATCATCAATTTTTGTCTAAAAAAATGCCAATTAATAATTGCCCGAACTTTTTATAATAAAATAAACTAATTAAAGAATCCCAATACAAATCCTTACTCATCTCATCGCTTAGTTATAAAAATTTGACTAGGATTTATTTTATCCGATCCGACTTTTAGTATCGATATCTATAGCGCGGCTTTCTTTTCAAATCAAATAGAGGAAAATGACAACAAAGGATGGCGATGCGTCGTAATTGGACGAGTGATAAGAATGAGTGATAAGAGTCATCAGACGAAGCGGGAAATGGCGTGGAACTGATATTTCATAGGCAAATTTAAGTGAATATTTTTATTCTAACAAATATTTTCTTACAAAATTTACGCAAAAATTCATTCAAACAATTTCTTCACTTCTAAATTTTATTTATTTTTAAATTTATTTTATTTATAGAAAATTTATTTTTTCTAAAAAGCAAATTTATTGCAAAAAAAATTTAAAATTGCAAAAAAATTTCAAAAAACTGGAATAAAGGAAGTGCAACTAATTGAAAAGAAGAAAAGATTTGTTTATAAAGATGTTGTTTGGTTAGTTTTGGGAAAAAAGTTCAATGGGGTCAAAGTTCAAATTATTTTTTTAGTTGTTCCGACTGTGGGAATTATTATTGTTTATTATTTCTTTAAATTGTACTTTGGCTTATTTTAAAAAATTTATAAAAAATTTATCGGGAGAGAAGAGAAATTTGTTGGCGAATTTTTATTAGAAAAAAAACATGAAAAAGAAATTTTTTCACTAAAAAAAATTTTGGATTTAATACGTTTTATGAAAATAATTGTTTCCATCAAAAGTTAATTACAAAATATAAAAAATTAAAAAATAAATTTAAAATAAAAATTCGAAATTTAAAAATTCGATTAATTCTTTAAAATTTTATACATTATTAAAAATTATTTGCAAAAATTATTAATTTGTTTCATTTTTAGAAATTAATAAATTTTAAATAATATTTAATTGTGACGAGGAGAAATTCAAAATGCATTCTAGAAGCCACTGATGAAGTTCCACAGGCTGAGAGCGAGTGTTGTATTGCTTAGACTGCCATTTTATGCTTCGATGATTATGGTGTCTCAGCGGAGTTCACGTTGAAAGTACCTATGGTGCCAAGTGGTTCCCCGGCGTCAATGTTTCTCGGACAGTGATGCGAGGCTTTTCTTGATCGCTGCGAAACACTCGATTGTTAAATAGTACCAAATGCGATAAACTAGAAATTTCTATTTATTTACTTTAACTTAGTTTACAGTAAACATAAAGTACATTTGCAATAATTTGCAATTCGTTCACTATTTCATTGTTATTCTTAAAATTTTATAGCCAAAAATAGCGAAATTCAACGATTTATTCTATTAAATGATTTTTTTAAAATTTTAGAAAATAATTTTTAAAACAAATTTGTAAGCTATTTGTTTTATAGTTTTCGCCGATATTATTATTAGTAACAAATGCCAAATACTCGTTTTAGGGAATTCGCTGAATAGGCGACAATTACTGTTCAATGTTTTTTAAAAAATTGGATTTATAGTAATTTTGTAATTTGTACTATCGTAAAGAAATTATTAAAGAATTTTGAGATAATTTTAAAAATTTGGAAGGCGAAGAAGGAGAAGAGGAGAGGAGAGGAAATTTAGAAGACCGAGGCACATTCCTCCATCTGAGTCTTTGAATCCTTTCAGACATATTCTCGCCGACGACGAGATCAACCGTAATGCCCCTAAATGTTGCGCCTAAATCCATTTTTTTCAGAAAATCTTAAAATATTGAAAAATCGCGAAAATTTGCTATTTAAAAGAGAAAATAGAAAATAAAAATCTTTTGCTTTATAATTATAAATCAAAAATTGCCATTTTTAAAATTTTTTATTTTATTTAAATTAATTTTTCGTAAATTTTTTCACGAATTTAATTAATTTTGAGAAATGAATTTTTTGAATTTTAATTCAATTTATGCGAATTCATTAAATTTAATTTCTTCATTGAGTGATTATTTTATGACAAAATTCATTGCATATTCGACTGATATTTGATAAAAAATGGCAAAATTAACAGAGAATAATTAAAAACCATAGCAAAGTGGATTGACTATAATTATAAGCGATTAAAAAATAAGCCAAACAAAAAACATATGAATGGAAGAAATGGGAATAAGAAAGATAAGCCGGCGATGGGAGAGGGTCGACGGAAAAATAAGGCTATTTTCTATCTGAGAAGTGGATACGATATTCGTTTGGCTACGATTGCAGATCGCTTTCTTCGCCCGAATCCACAGCCTCCAAAACACTGACTCATACACACTGGTATACAGACTGGCATACAACAACTGCAACAAGACATCGGAGGCATTATCGGAGGCATTATCGGAGGAAGCATTGGCGGTGGAAGCAGTGGCATTATTGGTGGTGGGCAACACATCTGAAACCAATTAATTTTTCCAAATCTGTTAAGGAACAAACTACCAAATTTTGCTCATTTATTCTGAAACAAAAAATTGCGTTGAATGATTGCTTACAATGGTAGGAAAACAGCACACAGGACAACAACCAAATCCAGGCCATTGACGTTTGGCTCTTATGACGACAGCCGTTGAGTTCGCTGAATTAATATCGCGTTCCTCAGCTGATTTATCTGCTATCTGAAATCTATTGGGTAAATTTTAAAAAGATAGCAAAGTGGTTGAGCGAATTCTGAAAGAATTGAGTACACTGATAAAGTGATAACAAAATGCCTCATAGATTATTAATATTTCGAGTTATCAGCCATTTTTATATTTCCACCGAATAAACCAATTTTGGCTTATTCGTTAAGAGGCGCCTAATTTATTTTATTAGTTGAATTTTTCATTTATAATGCCGAAATCTTGGCAAATTGATTGTTCGACAATGAAAATTGCCAAGTTCGATTGCAAAAATAGGAAAAACGAACCGAAATCAGTGAAATATGATTGTCGATGATAAAAAGCAATAATTGTATGAGATGAATGCGTTTCATGGTGTATTTGTATTTGTATTAAAATTACAAATTGCTTGGATCTTTTATAGAGGAAAGTGGAAAACGGGTCAGACACGATTCTTCTTCTTCGTTTTCTTCGGCGTTTCTCGTATCCCAACAGGTTTTTGTTTATAATTCAAGTAATTTTCTCCTATGAAAGTTTTTTTTTTGTTTGTTTGCTATAAATGTCTTTTATTGGAAAAAATTAATTGTTACTTCTACTTGATTTGGTTAATTAAAGGTGACTGATAAAAGTGATAAAGCATGATAAATTTGCATGTAATAAGCTGGATTAGCTTTTAGGTGAATGCAAAAACTTAGCGATTTTGTCACGAAAGCTAAGAAATGGATTGCTCTGAATAGAAAACGTGGATCTGTGGAGATAGAAGGATGAGGGGGAGGGGGGGGGGGGAAAGGGGAAAGATTTGTTGAGCTAGAACAATGTGCTTTGATTAGATTGAATAATAAATTTATTTCGAGGATTTCTTTTTGCCAAGTTTTGCAGCATTTTGGCCAAATTTCTGAGCCACTCTGAATTTCCATGACTCTCTGATAAAATTTATCTTTCAATAAGATAAGATAATGGAAATGGAGAGATGAGGTCCGGTTTGAAGAGATTGACTTGCGATGGAAGGTTGAGGCTGGTTTTATGCTAAAAAGCAGAAAAACTATCGTAATTTTTGTTTGCCTTCATAGAAAAATTGATAATAAAATTTGGCTTAATGCATGCTTTATAAAAAATTATTTTTTTTTTAGCAAAATAAAGCAATCAAAAGTTTACTTTTATTTTCTTTACAGTTAATGGCCCATTCTTACTGAACAAAGAAAAGACTTTTTAGGAGGAAAAAAAATTTTTTGGAAAATTTTCTTAAAAAATATCCTCCTTATAGATGATTTTCAATAATAATTTTATTTTAGGGATTGAGGATTTTTTTTATTGGATCATTTCTGTGGTACTTCATTGCCGCCGACCGAATTTTAAACTCTCGGTAGGAATAAATTAAAATCCTTGCTGGCGCTGAAGAAGATATGATAAAATATTGTCTATATTCCCATCTTCAGTGACGCACCGATAAAATTGTCCCATCCTGATAATAGTAATAATAGCAGTGCAGCAAGTCTAATTAGAAATAGTAAGTGCCAACTGCTTTTACTAACGGTAGTCCAGTGGTATAAAATTATTTACAATTTTTCCAGTTTTTTTGTGTATCTAACAATCATTTCCACTTAATTTATTATTTCTATTTTATTCAAATTAATCTAATTTATTCTCGTTAAAAAGTAAGTAAAGTAAGGAATATAAAGGAATATAGTAGAAGTTTTCATATTGCTTTTTACTTTTTGTTATTTTTGCTTTACTTTCGTTTCAAATTGTAAAATCTTCTTAATTTTTTATTAATATTAAAACCTTTTTAATTTTTATGCTCATTTCTTATGCGCAATTTAGAACATTTTTGGAGAAAAACCGATAGAAAAACCAATATGTAGAATAAATAAAATTAAATAAAATTAATAAAATTAACTTAAATTAACAAATAAAATTAATAAATAAATGGACAAAATTGGTTTTAACGATTGAAATCATTTGAATTGAACTTAAATTCTCAAATAAACTTTTATAAACTTTAATTTGGGAAAAAATGAATAAAATTTTTATTTCCTATGACAACAAAATTGAAATTTTGCGAAAAAAACTTGATGCCAAATTTAAAAATTAAAATCTGCAAAAAATTTCAGATTGGAGAGAATATTTTTAAGTATTACTTGACATACTTCAGCTCGAAACACATATTCATCTACAAGTAGCACGACCGTTTTATTCTCATTCTTTTACGATTTATCCAGTTTTTGCAATTTTTTTTCCAGAATTTCTCTTTTTCTCATCCGAATTAAACATTCAATTTATGGAAATCGGCTGAAAGGTAGGATTTCTAGAAAAATATTACTTATGGGTTTGTGCAAATTCCATCTCACCTATTAAAGATTACTTCTAGACAATTATTAAAAAATTCATTCTTTTTAGATGCCTGGAATTTTTTGAATTGTAATTTGAAATTAAATTTGAAATTTTTTATTTGAATTCCATTTTTCTGAAGTTAACAAAAAAAATAAGACATAAGTATCCACGAAAATGACTTATGACAATTTGATTTATAGCCTGCAAAAGAAAAAGCATTATTTGTTTACAAAATTGCAAGATCCAAGAAAATAAATAAATGATGCTTTTGAAAGTATAATGTATCAATAACAATTATATACACTTACATAGGACGAAACGAATTCAAATAGTAATTAACACTTAAAATTTTTTCCACACCATTGCGGTATTTCAAAAGAAATATTATTCACAAACCGTGAAAATTATGAAAAAATCAACAATAATGGCTAAGCGGAAGAAATTATTAATTAAAAATTCCAAGTTTCAAATAAATTTTAATCATCAAAGAACACTGCCTAGCAAAAGAAAAGCTCGACAAAACAGATGACTAAAAAATTAATTTAAAATCCGGAATAAAACCTTGGAAGAAAGAATGCAAGAAAAATCAAAAATTTATTTACTTTCGTTGAAGTGCAACAATGTAAATTTCAGAACTACTATCCCTACTCGAAACTGGTTTAAATATTCTGACGCTTTTGAAAAACATTTTAAATTTGTCAAAAAGCACTTTTCGCTCTTTTCCATCCCAGATTTTACAAACAAAAGAACCACCATCTGCAAGCGGAATTACTGGCAAATCACCGACGCATAGATATAATAAATGTTCGCAAAGCGAGAAAATCCTAACATGATCGACTTTATTGAAACCTAAAACAAATAACTTTCTGATATGCAAATATTTAAAAAGATCCAATGAGCTTCCCACCATTTCTCCAAATATGTTTTCCATATTTCATCATATTCCTTCATATATTAAAAAAATAGCCGAAAAAAGACTATCAAAGAAAAAATTCATTTGGTTTTACTTTTTCATACTTTATTAAGCAGAAATTTAGATTTATTGAAAGTAACATAACCAGTAGGATTTGGAGCCATGTCACTGATAACTGCATCGACTAAGCGACCTTTTAAGCGTTCCTTTATTTCAGAATGGGTTTTTCTCACTGTAATGTCTCTCATTTCGAGCAAATCGACGCCTTTGATTGGAGCCATTGGCTACAAATTTTACGAAATTAGAATGACCATCTATAGTTTCATTTTTGCTCTTCAACCTTTAAAAAGTTATTTAAAAGGTAAAATTTTTAAAACTTTTTTGAAATTTGAATACATTAAAAAATTTCATGTAAAAAAAAAGGAATAAAAAAGGGTAATACGTGACGTAAAGATTTTTCTCAAACTAATGAGCTAAAATGAAAAATTATTAAGCAAATTTTAGACAAAATTTCTTTTGACAAATACCTGAAGATCGATTCCTAAAACATAACCGTTTTTGTCATTTAATGAATGCACAACATCAGCACAAACTTGACACCACGAACCAGGCGCTGCACCGACGTCAATTATCACAGCACCTAAAACTGAATTTTGTGACCTCATAACCGTTATTATATTCCATTCTCTATTATTTATTTATGTTATATAAATCTTTTTTCTATATCATATTCCTTAAAAATTTAATTAAAAACTATGGAAAACAAAGAATAAATGCAGATTCAAGCAGATCTTTCCAACTGAACTTTCCAAATATGTCAAAATTTCATTTTCGTCTCTGACTATCTCAATCCACAAAAAAATGAAGTACCAATCACCTGGACGAATAATACGAAATTTTTCGTTAATTTCTAGTAATTTGAAGGCACTCCGAGCACGATATGAATGTTCCCGAGCCTGAAAACGAATTAATTGTATGAATAAAAGAAAAAGAAATAAATCCCCGATAGATTCTTCTATATTTTATCGTTTTGATCTTTTAGAGATCTGATTTCTCCATTTTAAACAAATAAAACTTTAAAGGTCGAAAAAAAAATTTAAAGACAAAATATTTTACCAGGATTATAAAAAATATTAATTTCAAGCATAAAACCTTAATACAAAATTCATCACTCCTTTGTCGTTGAATATATTTTTCAATCTCCCTTTTCTTTGATTTACTGGAAAAAAATCGACTGAAACGATCGCAGCTGATCAAAAGTTTTCGATTCATATTTTTGTATTACGCAGAAACTACATAATTTATTATAATTATAAAGAAATTTTTTTCTGCAACTATTTTCTGCAACCTGCAATTGCAAAGAATAATAAATAAAATAAGAATGAATTCGTGAAAAATATAAGTATAAACTGGTTTTTTTTTAAAAAAAATATGTAGAATAAAGGTGATATTTACATTCAATATAAAAACAAAAAAACACATATGAAAATAAAATTTCTTTCAGTTGAATCAAATAAATCAAGTAAATCAAGTAAAACAGAATTTTATCAACAAATATTATTAAAAGATAATGATAAAAACTGCAAAATATGAACCATCAAAGACCGATAAAATTCAATTTCGATGAAAACCATAAACTTTTCACTTACTATTTTCAATTTATTTCTACTCCTTGCTGCTATTATTATGACTTTATTAGACGTAAAGTACAGTTATAAATTTGCTAGAAATTTTTTGGTGTAAGACACTGATTTATCGCTTGCAATAAGCTAGGGTTTTCAATTGCAGCTGCGACTCGTTCTTTGTCAGCCAACTGTTTATTTATTGCATCCTCATTAATATGTTTGCCTGGAGTAATCTTTACAATTACCTGCAATTTTCAAGTCGAAAACTTCGAGTCAAATCCCTGAACATCAAAAATATCAAAAAAAAGAGTGCACTATTTTTCTTGATATCCCTTTACTAAGAAAATGGAATGAAACATATTACTTATCCGAATTTCGAAACCACAAGCAGTTTGAAATTCAAAAACGATATACCTTAACTGTTGGATGAAGTGAACGCAATAATTTAACGCGAATTGCTAAACCAATTAAAGTTGCCAATGAACAATGTGGAATCGTTGGAGTAAATTTTACCTGAAAAATTAAAAAAAATCAAATCATTGGATGAATTTTAATATTTTTTAAAAGATTCTAAGAAAAACAATGAAAAAAAATAGAAATTAAAGAAATTAATACAAAATAGCAAAAAACAACTAACGACCTCAACAACTAATATTCCATTATCTTTTTCAATGCTAATTAATTCCTCTTCAACAACATTTAGTTGTTCGAGTGTAACCGGATGTTCCGGATCGTTTATATCTCTGCAAATAGCGAAAATTAGCAAAAGAGCTATAAAAAACAATCTGATAGTTGCGGAACAACATTACTTAATTCATAAAAAAATTTAAACTTATTTTTCACTTATTTCTATTAAATCAACTTGCCTTTTCTAAACTTGTCTCTTGTAAACGTGTTCTAGGCCAAGGACCTTGGTAATGAATGATAAGTGATAAGAAGCAAATGATAAGAGGAAAAAACAAAAAATTACTAGTTAAATCAATTTTAAATGAACCATAGAAATTTTTTTAGAAAATTCACCAATCAAAAATAACCACACTAATTATTTATTTGGAAAAATACCTTATTAAATCAAAAATTTCCCTCGCGTCAATCGAATCCTCAATATCGTCGTTAAAGTCATCGACTGAATCCCTCTTTTTGCGCGGCCTTCTACCATATATCACCGGAAATTCGTTGTCAAGCCGACCATTCATTCTCCTCAACCCGCAAGAACTCAGCGCAGCCAATGATACGTATCGGGCGTTACGATAAGTCGAATGTGGACATCTGCGCAATCGCTAAAATTCGAATTTTCTCTTCTGCCATCTAAAAGATTTTTTTAAAAATTACTATTAATATTTCGAAGTATTCCGGTGGGGTTTTTCTCTAATAATTAAATAGTAAATAAGTAAATAAGTGATTAAACAGCGAGTGAAGCAATTAAACAAATGATAAGTGATTAGATAAATGGGCGCAGAATGGCTGAGTGGGTTTTTGCTCAATGCGGAGCGCCGATGCTGAGGTTCTGCTCCCAGCGTGAGTAAACCACGTGTCCAAAAAGCCAGTCACTTGTACTTCTATCGCCAAGGAACTACCTGAAGGAATATTTGCCTAATGCGACAAGCCAGCGAAGTGAACCAACAGTGGCGAAGGCTCTTTAAATAAATAATTATAATTCTAAATAATAATTCAAACACGAATCAGTAATATTAATTATAAATATTTTACTTTGTTTTTATTTCTTATATTCATAAATTTCTCGCTAATTCTTTCTTCTAAAAAAAATTGTTCATTGTAAAGATTATTTATTTTCTCCATTGCGATTTCCATTTCCATTGAAATTCACTAACAAATTTTTTAATGTAATTTATTTTTCATTTTTCAGGAGTTCTTCTTTAAACCAAATCGCTTGGAAATGCAGCGGGACTTATGCCAGGTTACGTTTTTTGTAGCGTAACATCGGCATGGAATAAAATTTTCCTGATGGCATTTTATCATAAAAAGAACGGTCGATCGAAATATCGGATGTACGAGGAAAAAGAAATGTGGAATTTTCTTTATAGGTTATTCTTTTATATGAATTTTTTAGTGATAACCTATTGAAATGAGTAAAATTTTGTTGATATACTCTTGTAATGAATAAAATCTAAAGTTTATTTAGAAATTTATTAGATTTATTCAAATAAATGATTAATTTTATTTGCAGACAATTAAAACAAGGTAAAAGTGTTGCATTTAAACCGAAAGGGAACGCATTGTGGCAAGAATTGGAATTATCAGGTCGAATTAATAAGTCGGCTTCATCAATGACTACGCAGTAATGTTTTTAAAGCGTTTAGTTGTGTAATTCACTCTCGTTTTTTTCCCGTTATTTTTGGCAATTTTTTTCCAGTTTTCGTCGACATATGTACGATCGAATTGAATATGCACCTCTTTCCTTGAAGCATTTACTTTTTATCGCTTATAAACTTTCAATGACATTGAGAAAAACTCAAATAGAATGGTAACACTATTCATCTTATTTTTTCTACTAAAAAAATTTGATTTTTATGATGTTTGAATTCTTTGCAAAAAAAGAAGTTTGAAACAATGTTTCTGCAATTTTTTTCAGGATCGAAAGCAAGTTTGGCGCACAAATTCTATTAAGTGCGAATACTATAATTGGCTATGAAGCAAATGGTAGAAATCTTGAAACCCTTCGAAATTATTTTCCTTATTTTTCTGAAACTCCTTAGATATTAATATTTACGAGATTATTTTTTAGGGCAACGATATTACTTTGAATTTCCTGATTCTGAAAAGGATTCTGGTTAGTTTTCTATTTTAACTAGCAAATCCGAATTGAGATCTGTTTGTAATACCATTGGAGTTTTTTTTTTTCATTCATAGCATTTGGAGCAAATTGCCACCGAAATATATTTTGATTCGACAATAAAATAAAACTATTTATTTGCAGTATTTAGGCTTCTCAGCTTCTTTACTTTTTTTGTTCTTATCAATTTTTCTATCAATTTTGCCGAGCATAGATTTTGATCATTTTTTATTACCATTAATTGGAGTTTTCAATGCACTGCATTTTATAATAAAATTTTGTTCCTTCATATTTGTACAAATTAATTTGAGATGATAGTGCTTGTGAAATGGAAGTTGATGCAATATCAAGTTTGAATGATTCGGAGAAATATGTTAGCGATGAATCAAGATTAACAAGTAGATATTTTTTTGACATTTTTTACCAAGTTTTTTTGCAATTCACTGGTTTTTATTCATGAGTTGATGTGTACTTTTTTCAGGTCGATGTAAAAGACCTGATCGTTCTGTAGAAGCTTGTTCATGGTTTTTTTCTGAATCTATGAAACTTTGTTCAAAGTTTGTTTCTTCCTGAATTTGCAAAAAGCGAATTTTTCTTACCTAACGTTTGTTATTTTTATATGTTCATATTATGTTTAATAATTTAATAATTTAATTTTTTTGTAAATTCAGAAACTCGCCTGATTCTAATGAATTTCACGATATATCATGTTCACCAAATACCAATGTTGATTCTCATGAAAATGTTGGTGAAATGCTTTCGTAATTTATGTTTCCATATCTTTTTCATTATCTTTAGTTTTAATACAGATATTTTCTTGTTCATTAGATAATTCTGTCTTAAAATTCTGCCTTCTATTATCATTTGATTTGCTTGATCGATTTATAATAATTTATTATAATTTAAAAATATTTAATAGTTGATTTGCGGATATATTCTCTGTTCTCTGTTAAAAATTCGCTATATTTTTTTCCTTTGCTTGATGCTTTAGCTATCTGATTTTTCATCCATTTTAGATTAAATTTGAGAATTTTTATGCACAAATTCTGTTTAACCCCAATTAGGCTTATAAATCATTAAAAAAAAATGAATTATCTTTGTAAGAATTTTTAATATGATAATTTATCCATTTCTTTTATTTTTTTATTTTCTTTTTTGAAAATTTTCTGTTTTTTTAAGGGAGATATCGGTTGTGAAGCGTGGGCAAGTGACCTTCATTTATGCATTCAAAAAGGTATTTCAAATTATTTTTTCCAAGCGAGGAACTTCTGATATAATTTCATTTCTCTAACTTTGCATAACTTTGCATAACTTGCTCCTTCATAAATATTACGATGCATTAGTTTTATTTAATTTTTTTCTGATAAACTCAAATAAGTTGATCATAATCTAATGCATCGTAATATTTATGAAGGTGGAACAATTAAATTTTCGTTTTAGCTAACTTTTTTTACAGTTGAAGTAAATGATGATGATAGGTTGGAAGCCGAAAGTTCTGAAGACGGAAATATCCAACTGATTAATGAAATCGAAAAAGAAAGGGAATGTATGATGGTTGGCATGGAACAATTAGAAATTTTTTCTGGTATTGAGGTAAATTAATTAAATTAAATTAATTTATTTTTTGAATTTTTACATATTAAAATCCTAAATTCCCATATTATTTCATAAATGATAAACCATAATAATATAGCAAAATTTTAGTTAAAATTTAGATATTTCGTTTTATAAATTTATAAATAATAAAGAAAAATTTTATGAAAATGAAATGCTAAAAGAGAAAAAATAAGCGGTTGTGCAATTACCAGCAAATGACAATCTTTTTAATGTTAATTTTACAAATTCTATGAATGCTTTTTAGAAAGCCGCATCTATTGCAATGCTTGCAAGATTAACGAAAGAAGCCAAAGAACTGAAGGTAAATTTGCTTGACCTAATAAATAGATATATTTCTTCAGAAAAGTGATCGAAAATATTGTGGCTAATGGAAAATCTATAGTATTCTTTCTTCTTATATATATTTCTGTACATTCTTCCTGTATATCATATTTTGTATTTAAATTTATATTTATTTTTCAAATTTCAAAAATTCAATTCAAATTTCAAAATTATAAAAGTCAAAATTCTCTATTTTTCTCTACTTTTTTCTCAAAAATTCTCTATTTTTATTTATAAAATTTTTTTCTATAGAAATAATATTAATGGAATGGAATGGAATATTTTTATTTTCAACACAATTTTCAATTGGTTTTATAAAAAGAAGTTAATTGCCTTTCAATCATTTATTTACGTATTATTTCTATCAACAAGAAATTAACCGAAAGCATCGCTCTATATACAAACAAACAAAGAGCATATAATAAATTTGATAAGCTTTGATAAAGCTGTTTAGAGATCAAATTATAAACAAAATTAGGTGATTCGCAATTCAATAATGAAAACAAGAATAATAAATAACAATACAAAAGAATGGCCTAAAGGCACAAAGCTCTAGTAGTTTAATTTACAAAAATAAATAAAGGCATTCAAGAAATTATATCTTGTTTAACAAATAAGTGAAAATGAATATATAATTGTTGCCGCAAAATTATGAAAACAATTATGTTTTCCTGGCTAAGAAAATTTTACCATTCATAATTTATTTTAAAAATATAACTTATTTCGCTAAATGACTTATATAGATAATTTGACATTGTTACGAAGAAACATCAGAAATCTTTCGAAGTAAGGAAATTGCAGGGTAAAATTTGCGAGCAGAGAAAAGAGATTCTCATAACATAAAAAAAAATAGTTGCAAAAATAAAAATAGTTAATAAGAAAAAAATGTATTAATTCATTCGACGCCGTATAACAAACATCCTTTTGCTTAGTCACAAATATTAATGATTGTAAATTAATTTTTTGCATTTATAAAGCTTCATTTAAAGCAAGATAAAAACGATTGAAAAAAGCAAAAATATAAAATGGAAATTCAAAAATGAAAAAAATTTTTGTTCTTTCTCATTCCGAAAATTTCTACAGCATTCATATGATAATAAAAAAACCCAAAATTTTTTTTGAAACCTGTAATCCAAACGACTATAAAAAAATAACCAAAAGAACGTCTAATCATAGATCATAGATGAGAAAATGCTTTCTACCGATTTTTTTTAGCAAAATAAAATATTATTAAGGCCGGGAAAATTTATGAAAAAAACTTCTTACCAATATAAAACAGATACTTCCAAGATTTGACTAGAATTAAAATTTTAAAATACATCAAATATGAAAATAAGACAAATCAATATGTATAAAGTAATTATATATATCACATAACAAAAAAAAGAAAAAAAATCCCTAAGAAATTTTAAAAAATGAAACGAAAAGTGAAAAGATGAATTAACTATAAATCTAGTTTAAATGAATCTGTGAAAAGTGACTGCCTTTCGCTCTTATTTACTTCATTCAACAAAGAATTCGCTTGATGAAAATTAATACCCTTTGTGTCAGATTTACCAATAGAATCGTTTGATGATCCACTGAAATTGCACTGAATTGCACGACGATTATCAAAGACAATGCCGTCATAACGATCGTCGTTATGCTTTCTGTTATACATTTCAACTGGTTCTTCATTACGAATACTAAAGTTTTATTAATTTTTTTAAAAATCTGTGAAATAGCATATATATTTAAAAATAAATATTTTTATATAAAAATATTATATAAATATTATAAATATCATATAAAAAATAAAAAATAAATATATTTAAGAATACATATTTAAAAATAAATTGTAGATAAGTTATCCTCAATTTACCTCATTTTGCAATTTTCTTCAGTTTCTAAAGCAGCGCAACTCGATTCATTATTCATATTCCAGTTGATATGATTAATACGTTCAGTTTCACCCAATCCGGAATCACTGAATCAGTCGTATAAATAAAATCATTTCATAAATTTTATTATTAAAAATGGATATCATTAAATGAATTCATTATTAAAAATGTTGCCAAATGGGTTTTTGCTAATATAAAAGTTTAACAAAAGATTATAAAATAAATACATAAATTGATTTAGAAACTGTGAAAAACAAAAACCTAGTATTTTCATCGGTATATTTCAACTGCCTCAGAAGCATGCCGATATTATTAAGTTTAAGAGGAGTAGGAGCCAATCGATTGGTAGAAGCCTGAGAAGATGGGCTAAGATCCAACTGAGGAGATATATTGTTCATATAACGAGAATAGTGGTTCATACCTAGGCAAATAGTCCATCTATTTATTTATTACTAAAAAAGTAAAAAAAAAAAGAAAAAATGACAAAGCATTAGGATGAAAACTGAGATGTAAAATTGTTATTTGATTCATTATAAATGAAGAGAAAATTTCTTACCAAGTTCAGAATCTGTGGCATAACCATTATGCGTTCTGTCATATCGTATTTCGCCATGAGCATTAACTGAACATCTAGACGGTGATGCAAGAATTTCAGAGCAAGGGGACCGATTATAATAATCACAACCAATAAGCAACTTATGACGTGGAGAATTTTCGTTTAAAATCAGTGTTTGCGATCCTATGACGAAATGAAAGCCAAAGAATTATTTTTTCATTTTAAAATTATAATATTTTTTCTAACTAATTTCTTTGCAAAGCAGTACCCTATTCTTTCTTATTTCATGAGCATAAAAAAAAAATTAAAATTACCATGTGAACTTAACATAATTGCTCCACCATTTCTTACAAGATTAGGACTCGCCTTAAAATTAAATGACGCGGATTCATTTCCAATTCTGTTACTTGCTGAATCGCGAGATTTTAAGGAAATTGAATCGCGTTCATCGCTTGCTTCATTAATCCGATGTAATGCATCATAAACTCTTTTGTCCTTCTTTCGCTTACGTTTTTCTTCACTAAATTTATAGATAATAGATAATTATTAAAGAATTATTAAAAAAGATAAAGAACGAACCGATAACTAGGCATATTTCCAAATTTAATGGAACGCTGGGCGATTTCTGGAATACTATCGTTCAGTTTCTCATTGGCCGAAGAAGAAAATTCCACATCACTCCGCCGCCTTTAGATTAAGATCGATTAAAAAAAAACAAAAAGAAATAATAACTAAATAAATTATCTGTCTTGATTTTTCTCTTGTTTTAACCAGAGTTTTTTGACTGATTCTTTTCAAATAAAGTCAATAAGTTTCTACTTTCTTTCACAATATTCAAAAGTTTTATGTTCATGCAATACTGAAAAGATACCTGTAACAAAATAGAAGGCAAACCAAGAGCATAAGAAGAAATATACCAACTAGCAATAATATAGCAAGCAATGTTGTTGTATGCAAAGTATGACCAACTGCAACGAAATTTCACATTTTATATAGAAAGAACAAGAATAATAAAAGAAAATAATTGGAGAAACAATTAACCAGTTAGAGGTATAAAAAGATCATCAAAAGGTGATAAGGCAGTAGTTGAGGAAGAAACTGAAGTATTTGAACGTATATCACAAGCAAATCCACTCCATCCAACAAAACATAAACAATGTTGTGTCGTAGTGCAATCCTGTAAATATTTAAGACATTTTTAAAAAATGAGTCTGCAGATAAAAAACTTTGACTTACCCCATGTCCAGAGCAATGATAAGCTAAATTATTGGTAGGACAATGTACAGGAGATGACACTTGTAACAGAGGTAAACAAACGCCTTGTATGCACACTTTACTAGAACCACAACTCGATCCATCCGAAACAATACCGGCTTCTGAATTCGTTATCACTCTAAAAATAAATTAATTAAGGAAAAATAAATTATATAAGATTATTTAAATATCACTGTGCAAATTTTATTTTAAAAATTACTCAGTGATCTAAATAATTAACTCAAGCTTGACCAAATATATTCGAAGTTAAATAATCCAGTGTTAATAATTAAATTAAATTTTATAATTAAATTTAATTAAATTAAAATAATTAAATTTTTTCTTACTTGCATTGAATCTGCTTCGAATCATGAAGAAATTGTAGACTAAATGAGCTAAGGCTTTGATCTAAAGGGCTTTGTTGACCTCCTCGACATTGCAATGTACCACAACGAATATCATCTGGAGCACATTTTCGAAAGCCACCGCCTGCATCGACACCACAGTTTGCGTATTCAACACCAAGAACATTTCTTTCGAAGCAATGATCTACTGCCAAAGTTGATTCTAGAGAATAATTTGAATAGATAAGTGCGACAATGAAAAATAATTATTCATGTTAATTATAGACCATTTCCTAACCATTTCCCCAGAGATTTCGACATTGTTGCTCCATATCAGAACAATTGCCTTTCCAACAATGGCCATTTAAGCCACATACTGTGCCATCAATTAGATAGCCATCTGACGGACAATTGCCATCATCACCACTACACACTTCAGCGATATCACAGCTTGAACGAGGAGCACGACATATATGACCAGCTGGTCGAAACTAAATAGCCGCAAAAAAATTAACATTTGAAAATTTGATTATAATTTAATTTAGATGTATATTAAAAATAAAGAGATATTATTTCGAAATAAAAAATGGAAAAAAATTATTCATTTTCAATCGAACATTTTAAATCATTGAATAATGAACCTGACAACGATAACAGCACGGTTGATGGGTAGCACACTGAGCATGAGCACGAAGCGTACATGTTAACGGATCGCAACAGGGATCTTGACAATCGTCTCTACGGCCACAGTCACATTCTTCTTCACCATCTACAATACCATTTCCACATTGTCGCAACGGTGACGCCTAAATACATAGATTTGTGTATTTTATTTGTGTTTCTTCTCATTAGTTTTTTCACCACTAATTACGTAATTCTTATTTCATTAGATAATAATTGCGAAATGAACAAGCGCACACTTACTTCAAGTGGTCGATTAAGAAGGCATTGTAAATGACCTGTCTGCAATATACCATGCATTCGAGCGAGTGTACACCTTGAAAATTGCCAAATAAATGGTGAGCCATAAGATCTAAAATTTATAAGGATGAAAAAAGTACATAAGCAGAGGAAATAATTTAATTTAAGAGAATGCGCTCAATGTGTATTTCTGTTCAAAATTCAATGGTTCGTCGGCTTCACATTAGTAGATAAAAGCTTTCATTCAGCAAATGAATTAATTTATTTTATTTTTATTGTTAAAATTGTTTTCAATGCGCGCATAATCTTTGCTATAAAACAATTTTACCACAGAAAATTTGCTAAATATAAGGAGATATGCATCTCAGTGAATAATTATAAAATCCGATCTAAAATTTAGCATTAATTCTCATTCATGCATAATTAATTTCCTTTCAAAATGTATTACATCAAATGTTATTATTGACTAATAAAATAATTGGAATAAGACTTGAATTCATAGATAATGCTTTCGTTTTTATTTTCATGTTAAAAATCGAATGCTATAAAATAAAATAAATTTTTCTCTATAAGATCAGTTATAAACCTCGAAAATAGATTATATCAGAAGATAATGAATGATTCAGTTCGAAGATAGCCTGTCAAGATAAATATGACTCAACCATTTCTTAGATTATGATAGATTGTTAGTAAAAATGGCATATAGAAAGAATTCCACTGATTTCATTAAATTTTACATTTTTTTCAAATAATCCTAAAATTAAATAGAATAGAAAACACAGACCCTATTTGTCTGTTCATCAAACATTGATCCATTTCACATAAACAAATTCCTTTATCGTAATCAATACCTAATGAATGAGCAAGATTATGGGCCAAAACTTGACCTGTATCATGCACTGTAAAAAAGTCAATAGCCTGAAAAGAAACAATAAAATAATTTTTATATTTAATCTAATTCACGAATTCAATCGATTTCTTAAAATTTATATTATCAGAAGAGAAAAAAATAGGAAAGAAATTCTTAATTTCCAAATTTTTAAATAAAAAAGAAATTTTAAAAAATCTTCACTGAAAAAACATTGTTCAAAAAGTTTCCAAATTTTTTGCTTATCCCCAATTTATTTAAGAAAAAATTCATAGAAATAATCACAATTTGGATAGTAAATTCCATCAACAATCGTTTTTAAATCAAAAATAAGAGAAACCAATTAATCAAAGTTTTAAAATGAAAGAATTCTAATAACATGATGAAAATAATGAATTATTACAGCGGAGAGTAATAGTAAAAAAAAAAGAATGATGGGAAAATTTTCTACAATCAAATTTTTTCTCGATTTTTTATAGAATGCAAAAAAAATGCGACAACATTCGAAATTCGAAGAAATATCTATCAAAGAGTTTGTTTAAAATATCATCATGATGAAAAAAAGAAAAATCTCACTGTTATAATCCCAGCAGCCCGAGATGTACAAATACTGCCAAATGCACAACTTGACACTTCATTGTTAGCAAATTTATCGGCAGTAAAAACTATCGTAACATCTTTAACTGAAATTTGACTGCGATTAAATAATAAAAAATTTCACTGTTTATAACTAATGCAAACAATTAATAATAAATAAAATAAATAAGCCAACAATGTGATAATACCAATATGATAAAGATGTCCAGTAACATATTCAATAACTCCGCTTAGTGTTCGCTCAATGTCTACTGTAACATCTATTCGGTTAGTATCAATCCATAATTCTGAATAAATCACAGATAGTCGAACATTTAATTCACGAGAGAATATCTAAAAATTGAAGTGGTATAAAATTCAAATTTTTTCCATTGAAAATAAATAAAAATAATTAATTAAACTGAAAATAATAGCAGCGAAATGAATTATTACTTTGCGTTGATGAATTTGATGAATTTAATGAAGAAAAATTCAAAATCGAATTAATGAAGCGAAGGATAATGAACTGACAAATTTAAATAATTTAAAGTGGATTAAACAAAAAGCTTCATTAGATTTTTTCCATCTTAAAACTAATTCATGGAGATTTAAAAATCGATTCTCATTATCTGCCGATATTTACTAATTGTAATATTTCAAAAAAAAGTTCTACAAACCAAATCAGCAACATTTACTGCCTCAAGCATGAATTCTGTAGCAACGATATCCGAATAACCATGTTCCTTCATCTAAAACCATACAAAATCCTAACAATCTAATAATAATAATTTCATCTCTTTCATTAATAAGAAAATAAAAAAAACTGGAAATAACTAACAAAAGAGTGAGTCCCAATCACGGATAATTCAATATATTTTGTTTGCCGTGTAACATCACGCTTTTTTATCTAAAAATCTGAAATTCAGTAGATACTTTGAAACTTCAAAAATATCTTGAATGCTTCACTAGTTACTTCTCATTAATATTCTTAATATTTTGCCTGTTTTTTTTATTTCATTTAGAATTAAAAACGACTGAAAGAATTTAAGCAATGTTCGATACTTTTAGATTATTTCCAAATTCATTATTATTCGCAACTTTGATTTGTGTTCCCGAATTAGCGGTTCTTGTCCAGGTTGTTTGATAGAATACATGAGGATGTCGCCGTCCTCGATCACCTCCGTCCAATGGCCAAATACCATAAGCTGTGCCATTCACAAATCCAATTATTCCCCTAAAACGTGAAGAAATAAAATCCGATAAAATAGCTATTAATTATATGTGGTTGTAAAACACGAAGCAATATTTATACTATAATATTCCCAAATATATTAATGAATAAACAGAATCAGATCGAATGGAAAAATTCGTCGATGATAAATACACAGTGAGCCTGGCATGGTATCTGCATTGACCCTTTATTATATAAAAATATCATCAAAGTCACCAAACATTCTTACCTTTACATAAAATTTACAATAGATCGGATAATTTATAATCCAAGATAATCTAAAGATCTAAACTAATGTGCTTCAACAGCTAAATTTCTCTGTTTATTAATGAATATAACATAAAAGCACTCAAAAAAGAATCCAACATATCACCATTTTATATCAACAATTATACAACAGCTCATGCGAAAAATATTTCAGGCCTCGGTATTATAAAAGATAAGAATCGTGCTTTTGATCTTTATAGTAAGGTCATAGGTTACGAAAAAATGTTGAAAATAATGTTTAAAACCTATAAAAAATAAAACCGTAGGTTTTTAAATCAAAATGCATCATAAGATTTAATAGTTATTCTCTAGTAATAGATTTTAGGAATAAAAGGCATTGAGGAATAAATATCTCATGGCCATCAAAACCTCGTTAAATCTATTAAATATAAATCGAAACTTATTTCAACTGAACTCATTGAAAGCTAAAAGAATAGAACATCAGGGAAGAAGCATTTTATAACGAAAAATGTAGAAATTAATAGAATGATGCGAAGCTGCATACCGTAAACCGTTACATGACGACAGTGCAACAAATGAAGATTCCTCTCCATTCACACTTCCCTGATAATAGCAATTCTCAGCCCTCTGCGATAGTAATCGTTCACCGACATCATCAAACTAAACAATTACATCAACCGTTAAGCATTTCTACTATTTTCAGTAAAAACATACATCTCCGAGAAAAATAAATTTCGAAGAAAAGAAAAGAGCTGAGACAAATAAAAAATGGATACCTTTTTGAAATCGCTTTCGTTAACAAAAATCAATTCATTTAAACGCACTAATAATTTTAATCGACCAACGGAAAGTGTTCGTACAACGATTATCACTTGTTTATAGTGAACACTACCATTCAGATAATAATTCCTCAAATATCATTTTTGAAAAATTTTAGCATTACATAAATTATTTTCCTCGGTTCTTCCACATTCTTAATCTTTCTTTTTCTTCTAATACCAGACTCCATAGTTGACTTCACTCGCTTTGCACACTACGAATTTAAGGACCTTTACTTAAATAGCCAACAGTGATGGAGACTCGGCCATTACGTTTTCGTTTGCAATGATGGATAGTTACCTCGCAAAGGAACGTAAACTGGCCCTAGGCTGGTTGTTCTCAGACAAATTAATGTTTACAACTTTATTACTTTGCTTCCTTTCCCTCTTTACTGCTCACTCTATTAAACTAAAATCTTTAAAAAAAGTCCTCGTTTTCACCAAAAAAATAAAACAGCACAAGCGGCGCTAATTAGTAAAGAGGGAAGACAGATATTTAGAAAACGACGCAGTACGAGTAACACTGTCAATTAACAATGAGCAAACAATGAGCACTGGCAGCAGAAATTATATAAGCAGTAAAGAACACTGAAAGACAGCACTGGCAGCAAAAATTATATAAGCAGTAAAGAACATTGAGAGAGAGCACTGGCACTGGCAGTGCAAAATGTAGAAATGATCAGTTTAGACTGCAAGGATGGCAATTGTAATAATTACTGTAGGGAATAAGGCAAAAAGCAGCACAAAAGAGAGTTCGGCTCATATAATTCTTATAAAATAAATGAAGGAAAAGAAAAATCTTCGAAATTTTCAATAAAACAAAATGGTGCTTAAAAGCCTTTACATTTGCGAAAAAATGCGCATAAAGGCGAACCTTGTGTCGATGCCAATTCGATCGTTTTTATCGCGGATTTGAAACGGATGAACAACTTCGAATTTACGATCACCTAAACGACTGATAAATTCTTTATTCGTTGACAATTGACGAATTTCACCTGAAATTAATTTTTCTGTTAAATAAAGAAAAAATGAAAAATGGAAGATTCCGATAAATTATTGGATTTAAAAATGGAAAATAAGGAAAATAAATTTAAATTTTCAAAAAACAAAGAAATAATTGAAACATTTAAAATTCAATTTTAGAGAAAAATTTGAAAAAAGATTTATTTTAAAAAATTATTTTTCTAATAAAAACAACACTAAAAATAATACCTTTAAATGCTCGAATAAATAATAAATAATTAATGAAATAAATAAAAATGTGATAATTCAAATAATTATTCCTTCGCATTGTAGTTCAACTCAGTTGTTATAGATAATTTTAAGAAATGAAAATTTCCTCGATCGAAGTCCAGCAGAAAGGTCAAAGGTGACAAAATACATATTTTTATAAAACACAAAGATATACAAATAGTACCTCCACCGGTGACTTCAAAACCAATTAAAAGGGCGCCTGTAATTTGTTAAAAATCAGCTTCGGCCTATCGTTTAGCGGTTAATATTTGAAGAAAATGGTGAATTTTTTGGTGTTGGTGAAATTTGGTTCCATTGAATAAATTATGAAAGTAATTGAAAATGAAAAATGAAAAAGAGAAAATGAGAGCAAAACAATGGAGATTTTAATGAAAAAACAATGCCAAAACGTTACTACTACTACTTTACAATAATATTTTTTCCTCTCTTCCGTTTTTCTCATTTTTCTTTCTCCTTTCATCCTCCCTTCTCCTTCCTCATTTCCTTTCCCTTTCATCTCTCTGCTTCCACCTTTCCTTCCCTTTCTATTCATTTTCCTTCCTCGTCACCCTCAAATTTCCTCATTTATTTATTTATTAATTGAATAATTTTATTAAAATCGACGACGGAGAAATAATCTCACAAACGTTTTATTATAAATCAATGAGTCAGCGAAATAAGACAAGCATGGGAAGACGAATCGATGCATTATTCTAATAATGCAGAAATTAACCGATAAATTTCCTTTTTCAAGTTCCTCTCCATTAATCAATAAAAGGTCAAAGGGTAAAGGTGAAGAGAATTTTCATTGGTAATAATCTGCAAAAAAAACAATTTCCATAAGAACAAAAGGAAAAATATCGTCAGATTGCAAACAGAAAATGTAGAATCCAGAGAACTGCGAATATGAAGTCGATAGAAACAAAGGCAAGGTCAAGGGTCACGAAGGGTAAGAAAGCCGATCAGTGCATTTGGGAAGTAATAAAGGAAGGAATCAGCAGATTGCGCTGTCACAGCTTTTGGCTTAAGTGGTTCTCAGACTTTTTGACTATCAGAACGCTTAGTGATTCACATTCTTAAAAAAAATTCGGAATAATTTTAAGCGATATTTATCGTGGTTCCATTCGTAAATACCGAATACCCCAATACTGATTGAAAAAAGTCTTACCGAATTCCATGATGGTGGGATGTATTATGATTCGCCTCCCTTCCGCTGAATAGATTTATGGCAGTAGGAGATAGCAGAATGTGTCCTAACCATGTTGGCTTTAGACCAGAGCACGAGTTTATTCATCACATATTCGAGCCAAAGAGGATTATCGTTTCCAATATTTGCAACTCCTATAATGGAACCATTATAAAGGCATTTTTTGGAACCAACTCCCCCCCCCCCACCCGCATTTGTTCACAGACTCCATACACACCTGAGAACCATTATTTTAAGCAAAGCTCTTCGCTAGTAATTATTTCTTGGATTACAGTTGAAAATCCAAAGAAATGAAGACATATATCGAAAAATATTGCAATAGAATTGCAAGTAAAAAAAAATCGACCGACTGTCGAGTAGCATCAGTCAAAGGTCAAATAGCCACTTGTGGCGATTTTAAAACGTTGGAGTAGTCAATTAAATTCTCCAGGAATTTGATAGAATCCAAAAATTTCCTAAGGTCCGATCATTCGACCATATGGTAATAGTAATAACAATAATTTGCTGAATCTGTTGGAATAACCTCGGTAGCATGCAAAACCACCTCGCCAGCGTGCATGATCTCTCCCAACTAAAGTCTCATCAACGAAAATATCTCATTCGTCTTAGTATCAACTCGATGTTAAGGACCCGAATTTGACATAGCACCCCAGGCTGCACGAATCAGGAATGGCTCAATGGGTTGTTGTTCAATTCGCCGATACTGAGATTCTACTCCACACAGGAGTAAATTTCCCCAAAAGCCCAAGTGATTCACCTATGCTTCCATTGCCAAAGGATCCCTGGCATGTTTGTCCAATGCTACAAGCCAGAGGAGCGAATCTAACCAACAGTGGTGAGGGCTCTTTGAACAAAAGTCAACGGTATAGAACTTAGCCATTCTGCTGAACAGTGAACCTTACTCGAATTTATCTATATTCCATCCAAACTATTAGGTGAAAAGAAGGATAGCATCAGAAACAATAATAAATCGGCGAAATTCCGGGCAGATCCGAATTTTTAAATAGAATAAAAACGCGTTCGAAACTAATAGAGCCGAAAATTTATAGCATTTTTGCCATTGCCCATCGCAAAACTGAATGTAAATGCAATCTCAAATGGGATATTTTTTATGCAGTTTCCTAGGCATCGCAGCAGCCTAGGAAATGCTTCAGGCCGGCCAAATCAGAAATAAGGAATGCTAGCAAAATCGACTGGAATCCCCCTCCCATCGATCTAATTAATCTCCCCCTACAAATTCGGTTGCATATTAATGATAAAGATTAGGAGATTCTTCAACAACATTCAGCAACATTCATCACTTTAAAACACTTCTACCTTATTGAAAATGAGCATGAATACTGTAAAGTTTTTATTCCATAATTAGCCGATTTATACATCGTATCATCGTATCAAACATATGTAACAAATTGTACAAATGCAAAACCTAAACATTTCATAATCATGACGAACAACATTTAATTACACTACCGCAAACTGAACGTAATATGTTCGTAATAATCGAAAAATATTTTAAAAAATATCTAAATGAAGCAGCAACAATATTCCCAAAAAAACATGCAGAGTATGTTGACGATCATATCGTTTGACATAAAATGTAGAAATATTTATGGAATTCAAAATTCATAACCCTGGCTCTTATCAAAGCCATAATCCTTATACCTGAAAAAAAAGTATATATTATTAAACGACTGCTAAAAAACCGAGAAATTTTTTGATGATTTTCTACTGTAAACTCATCTCCTCAAATAATTATTATGCTAATAATTATTAAAAGTTAAAAATGAATACGCCAATTTACCACTTCCTTCAATTCAAATTAAGATTTACACTCTGCACTCTTCCATATTTTTTCATATTTCAACGATCTAAAGTGGTTTAGGAAAATTTTCAATTCACAGTAATTTGAATATTATTAACTGGTTAATGAGAATTAAAACCTATACCAAAAATATTTCAGACAGAACTATTAAAAAGATAAAATAAAAATATACCACTTCCGTTCCCACCAATACTCCGGCTGAGGTATGAAAAACTCTGGTTCATCATAACCAAGCTCTTCAAGAGTTGGAATCCCCAACTCGTCAAGAGTAGGTTTAATCTGAAAATAAAACCACTGACTATTTGTTGAAAAAATTCAACCATTACCTATTTAAAAAATGGAAAAACCTTCGGATATTATTCTCAATGGGTTTAGAACTTCATTCGCTCTTTGCTATTTATTATGTACATAAATTATATATTATTATGCAGATGATATCATGAAGGTTTTATCTTATTCCAGCATATTCCTATGATGTTGCCTATAAGGTGGAAGAAGTAAAATGAAGAAGCCAATAAAATCAGCATTGATGTGCACTCTTAAAAGAAAAACAAGAAAAAAAATCTAAAGTTCCATACACCAATTTTAAAAAATCTCTACTCCTTACTTATTTCACATAATACCACAAAATGTCTTCTAAAATGGTAAATAAAAATTTTTAAAAATAAATCTGAAGCTTTATGTCTGAAATGTTTTAAAAGGTACTATTTATCAAAATTACTTTAGTACAGTTCGTTAATATGTTCCAACTAAAGATATAAAGAAATAAGATATTTCTTACATCGTTTAATTTTTTTTTATTAATTAGAAATTAACAACAAATTGCCTTATTTCACACTTGTTTAATACCACATATGTTCATTACCTTTACTTATTATCTTATATTACTTATATTTCTTTCCAATTTCACCGAAACTGGTACTGTTCTAGTTCTCTTCAGAATTAATTAGAAAATATTGATGGTCTCTACCCTTACTTTGGCTGTTTTCTAAATAAATGAAATATAAAATAAAAATGACGATAAAATGCAGAACATTATCAATGTGAGATGGCTATAAAATAATATACCTGTTGCATTATATAAGGATAAATAATTTTTCGATTTTTTTTAGTGCCACACTTTATTTTTAACGCTTCAAATATTCGTAAACATAATGCGAAATCATTAATGCGGCGACAAGCACGTAACGCAGCTTCAACTATTTTTGGATCTGGGATCACATCACAATTATGTAATTCGCCTAGGGCTGAAAAACAATCGTAAGTCTAAAGAAAATATTCACCATAGTAGTCAATTTTAGCTGGGAGTTTATTTCAACAACGATTTTCGTTCCGAAAACGGAGAGATCCTAATTTTACAAAGTTGGAAGAATTTATTACTTACTTCAGACTTCCACATTTAATATTATTTAAAATTGCAGCAAATTAAAAAATCATTGCAATATGAATTTCAATAAAATGAATGAAAAATGTGGAACTGTATGAATGTACTATTGCAAAGGAACATAAAAAAGAGAATCGAATCGAGAAAAAAATAAAGTGAAAACAAATGAACCTTTACGAACTTCCCATCCATCAATTTCTGGACGATTAAAATAATCAATGAAATGTTGGTCGAATCCTAAAATAAATTTTTACTATTATAAATGCAAAAAAACTGTTCAATTTTAAATTTTAAATATAAAGTTGTATTGATTGATAATTTTATTAGTTTGAATATGCTTTCTCTGAATGACGAGTAAGAAGAGTAATTATACAGAACCAGCCGTGCTGGGCTATAACACTAATAAATGAATAACTTGCTCGATTCCACCAATTTTATTAACAACACTATTATACAGCAAAAGAGCATAAAAACGATTGTTTATTCTCAAAATGCTTTTTTTCCAAATCAAACGAATTGAAATTCAAAAAAATCTTAATCTAAAAATTATGCGAGAAAGATAATTGAGTGAAGATTAATAAGGATTATTGAGGATTATTGTCGAGAAACAAAAGTTCGGTGCGAGTACAGAAGTAAATTTATTTCCTTGTAAAAATTCGATAATTAAGAAACTCCGTGGCAAAAATTTCTAACTAATAGCTGAGTTAGCCTAACAAGAAATGATAAGCGATAAACTATTACTATTACTATTATGCACGAATTATTAATAAAATAATCGGCTATTATTTAAACTTGTTCGACTTCCAATATTCTGCTCCTTAATTTTATTTTTATTCAAAAATTTCTTTTTAAAAATAAATGCAATAAAAAAAACAATGCTTGAATTGAATTCAATCGAAAAACTTTCTTTAATTTTAACAAAATATACTAATAAATTCTAAAGAACTTGAATTTTGGAAAAGAAAGATGTTTCGAATATTGCCACAAAAATTTTAAAATCCTTCTTGTATTAAAATAGCCCAAATATATTTCTGTTCATTTAAATAATTTTATATTAGCGAATATTAGCGAATTTTAATAATCTTTCGTGAATACCAATTGAAATCGCTCATAAATTTTAAAAGAATTAAACACCACACAGAAGCTTAAAGGCGACTGTAAATTACTGCAACAATTACTAAAACCTCGTCAAACGTGAATGAAAAACTAAAATTTCGATAAATTTTTAAAGAAAATCTAATAAAAATTACGTTCAGCTGGCCAATTTTCAATATTTTCATGTTTAGCAGTCTTTCGGCGTATCGTTGCGATCGTAAAATTCCGCACAATTTGTGGTTTTCGCCCTAATCGACACACTGCAATCCTTAAACCGTTCATTTTTCCTGAAATTATTAACCAATTGAAATTTGTGATCCTTTAAGCTTTCACAAGAAAAAAACTGAAAAGAGAATAATAATTTAGCAGAAAAATAACAATGGTAAATAAACAAGCAATTAAAAAGTAGTTTCGTTCAATCCATAGTGCAAATACCGAAAACTATTTTTATCATCAAGAATGGAACAATGAAGAAAAAAAATGGACAATGAACAAATAAGCGAGCGCGAAACGCGAAGGCTTTCTTATAAAATGGATATTCTATAAGACGAATACCTTCTCATAAGACAAATACATTCGCATCTTCATTTAACAATATGCACTAACTGGCTGATTCCACTGACAAGAAAACGACACCGACACTCTTTCGCCAGAGAGTCATTTGAGAGAAGAGACGGAGGACCACCACCGTCAATCGGATTTCGTTTTTAATGACAAGGTTTACGACGAGTAGAACGAATTACAACATTATTTGCTCGGAATCCTCATAATCTTCGCCTTTCCTTCTTCCTTCACAGAATGTCTCTGGCTTTTCACTTGTTCATCTAACTGCTAAGGTGAGAAATTTTAGTGAATAAGCCTTCTAAGAGATATAAGAAGATTCGTAACACCCATACAGCGTAAAAAAGCAAATATGTAATTCGAAATAGGAGAATACTCGCTAGAAAATTTATCAAAAGAGATAATATTTAATCTAAATTTCGTTAATCCTCTCGCACAACATAATACAAATCCTTTCGCCAAAGCATCCCTAAAATGACTGCTGACAGTTGAGCAAACCTTTGCAATTCTTTACAGGAATCCTTTACAACAAACCTTTAAAGAGGAAATCCTCGACGCTTTCTAGGAAATAACAAAGGAACAGAGCAAAAACCTACCAGAAAAAAAACGTGTAGAAAAAAACAATAGTGAAGGAATTAACCACGTGGCACTAATTTGCAGCCTAATCACTAAAATGCAGCTCGGTTTAACACTCAAAATAGCATAATTTAATTCTTCTTAAATTCGAATTGTCTCCCCAGGCCCTCCTCGCTGTTTTCTAAACGAGCAAGAAGAGAATAACCCGGCCAGTTTCGAGTCTGCTGGCTTGCGAGCGCTCTCTCTTAGCGGAGACGATAGCCACTAATGATAAGCTACCTCACCTCGTACTTCCAACCATATATCCTTACCGACGACGCAAGATTCCCATTCGTGATGCGAAATTTCACTCACTCACTCTCGGATTTTGCTAGAAATATGGAGCTTAGGATTTAGCCATTCTTTGCTTTCCCGTGACATACATACCAATCCGAAAATAAATATTTCATTATCCTTTCAAATTGTTTTGCTCCTTGAACAAAAAGTGATAAAAATTTTATTAAAATTTTCATTTTCATCGCAGAATATTATATTAGTTTATAAAATATTAGTTTTATCTTCTATTTAATCAACATTTTCGAGATTAGCTGCAATAAATTGAATATTACCAAAGACTGAAGCCAATCAGTGTTACATATGACGAGAAAAAAAATTTACGAGATTCGAAAAATGAATTGAGATGAAGACAATAGTAGAAATCATCGCCCTCTCTCTTTCGAATTAAAATAATACAAATAAATATAAATTAATAAATAATTTTTTTGCAAATTTAGCCGTTTTCTATTCGAACTATTTAAAACCGCTATCGCCGGAATCATATATGATGTCACCATGAAAGCAGATTATCAAAATAAACATTGAATTTTGACGAATGCCTGAGAAATATAAGTGAAATGTCTTACAAGAATTTTAAAAAAATGAAAAAGGATTAAAAAAGGAAAAAAAGGAAATTAAAATTAGCAAAATAAAGTGAATTACGATCACTGGCTTAAGGAATTAAAAAAAGGCATTGTTGTCTTAATAAATATTAAAAATAAACTCTAATAAAATAAAAATAATAAAAATATGCAAAAATGTACTTTTTGCAATGCACAGGGTCAATGCAGTCAAAAATCCTATAAATATTCATCTCTTTTTTGCTGACTAATTGCATCTAATAATTTTTTTTTAAAAGTTTTCACCATTATTGGTTAAACTCAATGGCTTATCGGACTGAAAAATGCCAGGAAGTTCCTTAGCGATAGAAATACTGGTTAGTTACCAGCATCACCCGGATTTTTGGATAGGTCAACTCGCGCGGGGAAACAGAACCTTAGTATCGGTGCCCCGAATTGAGCAACAATCCACTAAGCCATCCTACCCCAATAATAATAATAATTAATTAATAATAATAATTAAATAATAATAATTAAAAGTAATAAATATTTGATAAAAGTTGAACTATTCAATAAAAAAGAAAAATTATCAATATTACAAATTTCTCAAGACATTTCGAGATGAAAACATAAAATAACTGGCACAACCTACAACGACTAACAAATTAATGCAGTGAATATCCAAAAAAAAATTTTTACAAATGAGTTGCTTCAAATCTATTGGCAAAATATCTCGGTTATTTTTCATCATCATCTGCGATAATATTCTCGGCCCAGAATATTGCTGATGAATTCATATCATCGCTGAATAAAGGACTATAGATTTTCGGATCTTTACTTGAAGCGTCAGCATTTATATTGCTATCAGACCAAATACCATTCCTATTAGCTCCAAACAAATTATTTGTTATACCAGGCGGAAGTTCAAATAGATTATAGAAATTTCGAGTAGTTCCAACATCTCGCGATAGGGAGGAGATTGTCGCATCTATAAATAAATTTGAAGTGGGAAGAATAAATAAACTCCAAATTTTTCAAAAGATCTGTTAATTCAATCCAGAAAACTTAATAAAAATGAGACTTCATAAATTACATTCCAAATTTTTTAAAATGTAATGAAGATTACCATTTTTCACGATCTGCTGTTGCTTCAAACGCGTATTTGCACTAATAAATGGAGGAGCCTCCGGATTAAGACGAAAAGATCTAACTGCATTAGACAAATCTTCTGGCGAATTTTTCGAGGTCGAAGAACTTCCAGGCAACTGCCATATGCTTTCACTGTTGTCTTTTCTTCCCGAATCACTGTCGAAGAAGCCTGGTGTTATAGATGAAAAGGAGAGGTTAAAGCCAGGCCAAATCTCATTCGGTTCCTCTAGAATTTCATCAGCTTGAAATAAATATTAAAATTCCTCCAAAAAATACAAAAATGATAAAGATAAAAAATAGGAGTACCACATTCGATCAACAAAAATTAAATAGATAAAACATAAATAATTGAAATAATTGCGAACCAAAGTTTTCCATCTTTCTTTCTGCCAGATATTTTGCTTCCGCTACTTTACGCTCCCGTTGTAATTGTTGCATAAAAGCGCTTGGTTGTCTTCCATCCGGTTTATTAAGTAATTGATATTCTGATGAATGAAAAGTGTCGCGATAATTCGTATGTTCACAGCTGCAAACTGGCACTCGATTTTCTTCCACATGCAAACGACGAAAAGGAACTATAAATAAATATTCATTTAATCACAAATAATAAAAAATGAAATATTAATATTTACAATAAGCCGTTTTGCCATACAAGTGTGTTAAATAAAACAGAAGAACTTATGAATAAAAATTTAACAACACACCATCATAGTTTCTATTTGAATCTTTTCCTTTCGAACCTGGTGAAAACTTTTTAGGTGGCCCAATTGGTGCTATAGGTTTTGAATAATAAGATGATGGTGGATTTAAACTATAAGATGTCGTATGAGCGAATCCATCCAACTTTCCAGACACAACTGATGAACTTTGAGAATCAAATAAGAGCTCAGATGCAGACACCAAAGCATTGTAATCATCCTCAACATCATAGTCTAAAAATTCATTAAAATTTATACCAAAAAAAATTTTTCTTTCATTTTGATTAAAGCAAAATAAAGCAAATCGCAAGAGATAACGATATATTTATGTATTTCCATAATAAAAACTATGTTTTCATCATAAAATAATTAACAATGGAAGAAGTTGAAAATCAACTAGTCCATATAGCTTACCAAACATATTAATTGGAGATGTGTTTATCCATTCCGGTGCTCCTGAATCACTTAAACCCGCTTCTGATCTGCAATAAAATTAATGTAGTTTCTATACGAGAAAAAGTAGGAATCAAGAGAAATTTCTGATTGTTATTGTTTTTATTGGCAATTTATTTAAAGAAGCGTGAAACATACCGATTGCTTGGTGATAAGGAGGGTGAAAGTCGACCATTATTGTTAATATTGTCGCTCTGAATCGTTTTTTCATTCGAAAAGATTGGAATATTTTTTATATTTTCGCAAGCGCTGGTGGTATCATTTCCAAAATTATTATTGATGGAAAAATCTGAAATATACTGTTATCAGAAGAAATATAACTTAAAAAATAAATAGTAAAGAATAGAAAGCTTGCATAAACAATTTTTAAATATTAACTTATTCCGTTAAACTCTGGATTTTTTAAATTAAATTTCTAATTTTCTTTGCAAAATTTATAATCTCTGTACTTATAAAAATAATGTAAGAAACTAATATAAGAAACATATATAAGATGCACTATATGAAAAATAACATGGTATCATTAACTGAAAATCAAATAGAAAATAAACTATAAAGCCCACAGTGAAGAGATTTAGGTTCTTCGGTACTGCGTTTGACGTTTGATTTTTCAGCTATTTTCGGCAAAACAATGGATGACTGGGTGATAAAACCAAGGGATGATTCTCGTGCTTGACAACGCTCCAGCTTTTCTTGATCACAGATTATTTCATCATTTTTCGAAACAACTGATTTTGCTTGCGAAGATGGCACCTGAAATGATGAAATAATAAAATAATAATAAAATACAAAAAATTGGTTCAATAAGTAGAAAAGAAAGACTGCCTTTGTTTTGGTACTGCGTTGCTCTGGATGAACTTTTGAATTTTTTATAAATGAATTTAACGGCGCCTTCGTATCCAGATCAAGCAAGGAAGTCAATTTGTTGCTGCAAAAAAATATGACCGAAATATGAGCACATTATACATAATATGATAAGAATTTTACCAATTAAAAAAATGAATATAAAAAAAAATATATATATATAAAAGTAAAATTAGGAAATTAGAACATAATGAATTAATAAATCGAAATTCAGTTTTTTTGGTCATTTCAGTCGTAATGAACAGAAAAAAATCTTATTTAAAAATAGTTTACTTCATTTTAAGATGCATTTTTCTCGCTCCCACATTTGTATTGAAATGATCCACAGATAAAGTCTCAGGTTCTTTTTCAACAGGCAGATAATCTTTGTTTACAGTCGTTCTTTCAGAACGCAGTTTTACAACCGGCATCTTAATTTTACGATTCTTAGAGTTTCGCGCCGTAACTGGAGGCTGAAATTTGATGGAGCTTAATTAAACCTAATCACTGAATGTTCGCATATATTCATCCAATTTTAAATATTATGAAAAACAAACAGACCTGATCATTGCGAAACTGCCAAATGAAAGAAAACAACCAAAGTACACCATTTGCTGTTTGCCAGAATGATCGAATCAAAATATTGGAATCTTTTGCATAATGCAAAACATGCCGTCGAGGTGAAGAACGAATCGGGCTTTCTGTAAATTTAAAATTTTAATTCGAATATAATAATGGATAATTTAAAATTTGTTATTTCATTGATGATTACCATCTTTCACAGCGTCGCAAGCATTGATTTAACAAAAACTGATTCGCCATTGAGATAATGACTGATATTCGTTCCTGTCGAACCTAATTTAAAAATTTCGAGAAGGAACAATTTACTTGAATTTAGTGCATTTTGTCTCTTATCCGTAATACTGGAAAAATCGCCATCGAGGGCATTTAAATCGAAAACTCGTCTTGTCTGAGCATACTGCTGCTTAATAGCGCATGTTATTGTACGGTCACCCTCCAAATAAGCGCACGCCACGACACAAATCAAACAAAATCTGCATACACAACAAAGAAATGCATCTTGCCACAGTATATCCAGAGATAATATTTAATAATTTAAAACTTAAAATCACAAATAATCAGTGAAGCATACATTAGTGCTGAAATGCATGAGTAATACATGATACTCTCAAAAGGTGGTCGAGGCAATGCAGCGTGACACTTTGCTAACATATGTTTTGGGATAGAAGCTCCAATAGGAAATAACCAAGATGTACCATTCATATGCATATAAAACTGTAGAGCTGCTTCATTCCAAGACATCAAAAAGTCAGGAGTGTACCTTCAAAAAAATATTTTGCACTAAATAAATGAACCACTTAAACATATTAAAATCATATTTCGATCTGACTAAATTGAAATTAAAATTGATAAAAAATGTTTCAAAGATCTATAATTAAAGATAATCTTAAAGAAAATTGAATTCGGTAAAAGTGTAAAAACCAACGCTATATCAAGAATATAGGTTTCATTAGGCGCTAACTGGAACATATGACAATTGAGAATTCTAAAACCTCTATTCTCACATGGCACATTATTAAGGCTCATATTTACCACAGTAAAAGGTACTTCACCGGTATTTGCCACTACAAACGACCTCTTCACAGTAAGAGTTGTGAACAACTTGTGAGTCAAACCTAAAACAATAAATTAAATAAATTAAAATGACGAAAAAAATAATTCTGGCAATAATAATTTTTTAAATATAAGGAAAATAAAATAAAAATTTAATGAAAAATTTTACGCTTAGGATTATGGCAATCAGCTAAATGATGGCCTTGTATTTCGAACATCAAAGGATTTAATGTCCTTGCAGAATGTCCATCCACTTGCATATCCATTCGTGCTCCACGACCATACAAAATAACAGGTTCAATAATAGTCAAATTATTTCTTAAAAAAAGCATAATATTATAAAAAAACTGAATGAGGAAATTAAAAGTTGACTACCTAATTAACAATAATGAAGATCGAAGAGTATAATCGGATGGCAGAAAACCCACTCGCACTCGAACTTTCATTCCAGGTTGCAATAACATTGATAGAGTAAACCTTAAAATGACTATATAACTATGGAAATTCTTTAAGATTTTGAAAATTTCATGGATTAATTATTAATTCATTATTACAACCAATCCAGTCATGATTTTACACGAAGTTTAACCCATCCATGAAAACTCATTGATGAAATAAATGAAAGAAATACCATCGAAACAAGAACTGAAAAAATTTGAAAACTGAAAAAAAAGAATTGAAGTAGCATATGAAAAAATACTTCGGTATACTTGTCCCAAGAATTCCCTCCAATTCTTCTCTCAATTTCGGTACAGGGCTATCTTGCTTTAAAGTGAACAATTCCGTATCACGCAATGAGAACATTAACGTTTCATTTACTTCGATAGGATCAAATAATGGAGAGGGTAGTTCATCGCGAAAAAACTCCACAAGCGCTTCTGCATCTGGATAAATAACTAATGGTAGTAGCTGCACAACGATGGGAAGAGAAGAAGGATTCGTTAACGTCAAATTCACTATCTAAATTGCGTAATTAATGAATCAAATAATCCTTAGCATCTATATTCACCATTCTTTTCATCCTGAAGTTATAAATTATCAGAAAAATATAGAAAAAAACGAAAAATGCACCGTGAAATTTCCAACGGCAGTAAGTGGGAAATCTACCACAGATTTAGTCAAAAGCCGTGGCCAAATAAATTCAATCTGTATTGGTATAAATAAATTCATCACCTGAAATTTAATAATTCATGTGATGCCGGACCTTTCTTTTGCATTATTTTTATTGAATATTTGCACTCTTATAATTTCATTCGATCATACCTATATTAGCCCCATTTCTTGTTATCCAATTTATTTAAATAAAGAAAAACTTGAAATCTTTGACTAACCTCCTGAGTATCGACGACTATTGTTGTGTTAATCAATAATTCATTATTTGCTTTCAGCATCAAAAACTTTTTTCGTAGCCTAAAATTAAATCTATTAAATCAGGAAATATCAATATTCTATATCAAGGAACAAACCCATGTCTACCAAGCAAAAAATAAAGAAGATTTTCACAATTCATCTTAAATATTTTTGATACTAGGATGCATCAAATAATTTCTCTTGTTAGAACTTGTTAAAAATTTTGATAAATATATAATACGACTAAATATGGATAAAAAAATTCAAAAATTCTGGCAAATGTTGAATTCGAATTATGTAATATTTGAAATCATACAAATATAAAGTATTATGTAAACTAAAAATATATGGAATAGAAAAACTACAAACTAAAAAATTTATAAAATAAAATAAATATAATATAAAATAATAATAATTATAGAATAAAAAACTTTTTGTATAAATAATAGTCGATTTCAGCGAGATTTTGAGGCAGTCGTATGCCATATGTGAACCACTGACCATCGGCTGTATGCAGTGGAACGCCTTAATGTGAAATGAAAATATTAATCATTCTTATAAATATATTTTTTCGTACTTAATAACTGCAACTGCACTGAACTGAAGTTATTTGCAGTTTTAAAAATAACTAAAAAATATTCGAAATATGTTACAAATTATAAAAAAAGAATTACTAACCAACATAGCAATCATCTTTACAAATAGCTTCAGGTATAACAAACACTCTACCAAGATCAGTGATCTGATCAGCTCTAACAACTGGAATATTACTGGCGGAATATTTTTCAAAATGTATTCTTGGATCGTAAGAAAGAGTCGACAATCGTAATAATTGCATATCGTGTTGAAATGTGCTGTATACCTAAATTAAATTCATTTTTTATTCCGTACAAATTTTGAAAGCGCAAGATTGATAAAAGATAAAGAACCTGGAGATTTTTGAAGCATATTTTACCAGGAAAAACGTTTCCAAATAAAATATGATCTGGATTTAATATAATTGATCCCTTCTCCAGTTTGTACACAACAGGAAACGACCTTTAAAAATTTGAATCTAAATATGAATTTGAATTTGAATTTGAATAAAGTTAAAAAGATTTGCGATAACCGTTTTCTATGTCGAAGCACTATTATATCAAAAAATTGAAAGCTAGAATTATCAGAAAATATTCACTAATTCTTACTATCGCTCAAGTTGCACGATGGCTCAGTAGGGTAGGTTGTTGCTCAATTGAAAGCGGCGATACTGAGATTCGAATCCCCGCAGGAGTAAACCTGCACGAAAATCCGGGTGATGCTGGCGACTCACCTGTATTTCTATCGCCAAGGGACTCCATGATATATTGCCGAATGTGATAAGCCAATGGAGCGAGTTTAACCAGTAATGGTGAGGACTCTTAAAAAAAAAATCGCTCTAATAAAAAAATCCATAGTCCGGTTGTCGTTACAGGACGATCACAGTCACAAAATCGATCTCTATCCTTATAATTTAGATAAGAGACAGTATAACCAAAAATTTCATTTATGAGTGCTTATTCGATTGTAGGCGAAGTTATCGCAAAGTTGTGGAATAAAGGTGCTTGAACTAGTTCCAATCCTTATTTCACTATATAGATGGTAATTATTAATACCTATCGAAGCAAGAATTAAATGTTTTTCGGTGCCAAAAATAAACGACCTACATTTGTTCAAAATCTGTTTCGATCATAAATAAACCGAGTGGATCTGAAGACTGTGATTTTACAGTTAATGAATATTCGAAAACCGCAAAACTTTGAGCCGGCAATTCCAGACTGAGACCCTGAAATGAAGGTTCATATAATAGCATACAAATTCGTTTTACTATGATATACATTGATATTATATGGATACAAATGATATTAAATTTATATAGATAAAATTTTAACAAATGAAGAAAATTTCTGTCGAATTAACGTGGAAGATACTTCTTGCCATGAATTTTGTTGAACTTGATTCTGGGAATTCTTTAGATCGGTTGCATTTCCTGATGCAATATTCAATAAACGCAATGATGACATCGCAGACATGGCTTTCTTTAATTTCTTAATCGTAACAGGAACTGGGTTTTCATTCGATATAACAAACTAAAAACGTAATTCAAAGATCTATCTCCATTTAAAATGAAAAATAAAAATAATATAAGAGCAATACAACTTAGCAATTCGCCTAGAATCGCCTCAAAAGTCAGTATTATGAGACTTATGCGCATACACAGTAAGTGCTGGAATAAATTGCTTAATTATTATTGTTATCTGCAGTTTTAAAAAGAAATTTAAGTGTGATTTGTGTGATATTATTTGAAGCCATGCCCACGATTTATTGTTGGTAATATCTAGTAATTAGCTTAGGTATTTGCATATGTTTTCAAATCTTATAATTTTTTTTTGCTCTTTTTATATCTCAGCTTTTTAATGATAATAATAATAATAAACAAAAGATAAACTAAATAAACTAATAAATTACCTGTATTGAACGAGAATCACCCAAATCCAATAAACCAAAATTGAATTCTTTTTGATAAATTGAATATATTTTTACCTATAAAATAGGTATGACAGGCCATAGTCAATAAAGATTAATATTACATAATGCTCGAAATTAAAAAAAGATTTCATATTTCAATAAACTCTAACTTTTTATTACTTATTACTAAAATACTCTTTATCCTTTACTATTAAAATATTTATTTCATTTAAAAACTTTTATTTATAAACTTATAAATTTATAAATTTATTTATGAACTTTAAAGGAAAACTTTTTCAAACCTCACCAAAAATATTTTTTTGTAAATTTTTTTAAGACAAAAATACCCACTAAGCAAAACAAACTTTTAGTCGGCCATTAAAAATAATAATAGGAATGGTGAATATCGATACGTTCGTATGCAAAATGCAAGTTGATGAAAAACTGTCATTTTCCTTAGACACATATTTTAAGAGAAATACTGGCCGAGATTCATCAACACCAAGTATAACCACTGGCATAACCAATTCCACCTGGAAGGAAAAAATATCAAAACTACACAAAAAATACATAAAAAATATCTATAAAAATATTTCTTGAAAAAATATCGAAATACCCAAAAAATGAAACTTTAATTTTTTATTATTTATTAATATTATTATTAAAATACTCGTTACTCTTTATTTTTAAAATATTTCATTTTTTACTGCTGTATTTGCAATTTAAAAAAGTTTAAAACAAATAAAACTAGACAAAAAGCATTAAAGCAAACAACATAAAACACAGGAAAAAAAGCTGAGATATAAAAAAGAGCAAAAAAAATTATAAGATTTGAAAACATGTGCAAATACCTACAGCTAATTACTAAATATTACCAACAATAAATCGTGGGCATGGCTTCAAATAATATCACAGATCACACTTAAATTTCTTTTTAAAACTGCAGATAACAATAATAACTAAGCAATTTATCCCAGCACTTACTGTGTATGCGCATAAATCTCATAATACTGACTTTTGACGGGATTCTAGGCGAATTGCTATGTTGTATATATAAGTTTTATAGCGCTGAGGTGATTTTAAGTGAATTGGAAACTGACTTGAAATACTAAATTTTAAAAAAACCATCGATGAAATTTCGAATTGATAGTGATCTAATTTACTGTTCAACTGTTAATGAATAATGCTAATGAAAACTATTATCTGCACGAGCTATTTCCAGATGTTCCAACTTCATAAAACATGGCCTGCCCTAAGATGAGAAAGAAACAAAAGGCAATGTCTCACATACTACCATTTTTAAAAGATTTCAAAGTAAAAAAAATTCAGTAAATCAGAAAAATGCCACACGAACTGAATGAAATATGAGACAGCGATTACACACTAATATTTCCTTTTTCACCAAATTAAGAAATTTTTTTATGGAAGATTAACAGTAAAAAGAATTTTCGATTTCGTGCGCAGAAAATCATGGAGTGACCAAAACAACCAGGAACAATAGTGGTGAAACTAGCCAAAAAAATCTACTATACTATGTTGAAATTTGATGAGACAATTATGCCTGCTTCTATATTTGCAGACAGCAATAGAAGCAAAATCGGTTTACATGGCGAGCAGCTAGAGAGAGAGAGAGCGAGGAACAAACAATTCTCCTAAATGATAACCTTGACCACATGTAACAATATCAACACCAGAAACCACTTTGGATTCAGGCTAGGAAATAAATTCCTTCTAAATCCAGCATATTCCCCAGATTTTTAATAAAGTGACTCTATCTAATTATCATCTTTTTAAGTTCAATGCATTATTCCTTCTTTGATCAACCTTTTACAGATGAAGTTTGAAATTTCAGGTGAAATTCAAGTTTGAAATCAGTGCTTTTTTTAATTCGAAGCCAAAGTCACTTTATTAAAAAAAGAATTTATAAATTGCCTGATGGGTGAAGGCGATAATAAATAAAGGAAAATAAGACTATATAATATCTGGATTTTTAATATTTTTAATAATTTATACTTAAACTTTTAATTTAGTTGGGGATTTGTATGCCTAATAATACAAAAAAAATGTAGGATAAAATTGGACCAACAATCTGGTTTATGTAATCTTCTTTCTTTACAACCTGATTTAGTTTGGAACTAGGTATTACAGTAGAACTTACAGTGAAAGAACCCATAGCATTAGGAGCGACAGACACATTCCAAATGGCTATACCGAATGGCAGACCATTATTCAACGTAACGCTACGAGAAACAGGTGGCTCCACAAGATCATGAAACGTTGTTTCATTCGTACGTTGCGTTAAAGTTCTAAAAACTAATACAGTGAGAAAAAAGGAGTTTTTTTTCTGTAATATAGATGAAACAATGAACACAATTACCCCGAATATACAATGGCAAGATAAGGCACTGAAACATTATAGTTTCCACCACGGCTTTCCGCTATAATTTTACCTTTGAAACGAATCAATCGCGGATCATCTGGCTTAAGTCGTAGAAGAGTTGAATCAAACAATAATTTAGCGATAGGAGTCGCAACTAAAATGGTTACTTTTTAGGGAAATGGTTACTTTTTTGGTTACTAATGAATTTAAAAAATAAATTAAAAAATAAATTAAATCGAGATGTGACAAATACGGCAACCAATATAATCAATCATACATAGATCAAAAATATTCAAAATGATCTTACTTAATTGTTTTAAACCAGATTTTATCATAATTGGTGGTTTTGAAGCAAATTCCATGTAAATTCCGCTGGGTTCAATAATTTTTTCTACATACAAAGACTGAAATTGCGATATTTAAAGAATATAAAACCAAACGGGAGAATAAAAGTAAGATATCAATGATAATACATGAAATATAGTCATATATAATACTAATGTATAATAACAATGCTAATAATAATTAATAATTATAATGATTTTTTAAAAGCACTTCTATTTCGATCCCTTTTTCCAAAGTTGAAAAAACTTCCAGTATTATTGGAGATGATTTCTCGCCAAGCTTAATCAAACCGAAATCTAGTATATCTACTGTAGAAAAAACTCCACGTTTCTTCGTGGTTTCAAACTGAAATTAATAATAGTTAATCTACAATTTGTAAAATAATCTTCCAAAGTTAAGCTATTTAATTATTAAATTAAGTTAATGAAGAAATTATTTAAAAATGAATGAATAATATATTTCTGAGTCATTAATAAAAGACTAATGCGGAAACAAACCTCAAAAGGTACTATCAAATTTTCCTCAAATTTTTCCACTGACGACGATTTAAAAACTCCATCTTTTTCATTCTTTTTTAAACCTGTTTTGATCTTCAAAAAACCTGTCCCATTACGTTCATGAGCACCGAGAATTTTTGCATTTATGACAGTTTTTGTTTGAAATGGTTCAATTTCCTAGAAAAAAAGAGTATCGCTATATTTAAATTTTGACTTTTTTTCGATTTCTCTCATGATTTTTTTTATCTTTATTCTTTATAATAATAAATTACACTGAAAAAAAATAACTGAATATTGTAAACTTACCCATAAACCACTTTTCTGATTCATACCATTTAACATGTTAGGCAGTTCCAAATGTATTTCACCTCCGCTGGTATAAATTTCAGTAATAAGAAGCATTTCTGAATGTGGATTATGCAATTTTATTGATGAAACAAATGTGCCATTCAAAGGTATTCGAGCACTAATAAATGGTCGCAATCGATATGGGTTTGACACACCTTTCCCTTTAACCTGAAATATCAATAAGACTTTAAAAAAATAAATTAAATTAACATTTATGTAACATTTATTTATATTTAATAAATGAAGAATTCGAAATCTAAATGGATTCTTCAGCTTTTTTGACAATTCTATATTTTGATTCGATTACTGATGAGGTAGGCAAAATGTCATGAGGCGTCCCATATAATTTAATTAATAATTGCAAACGAGATAATTAATAATTAATAATTTAATATGAACAAAAAAACCGTATAAGTGAATGCGCCCAATGATGAATGTATAAATAGTCTATTCTCAATAACACTTTCTTGACGAGGAAGGAAAACAACATCGAAAAATGTTGTCTCCCCCGCATCGATGGTCTGAAAGAAAAACAGTTATTCTTTCAATATTATATTCTTGCGAAATATTTTATTAAAATTCTCTTCATGAATTAATAAATATAAAAGAATAAAAAATCAAAAAACAAACTTTGTGTTCGGGAAAAGAGCAATGAAAATGGATAGTTGAACCAGATATCGCGTCAAAACGTACTTTTGACGCAGTTGGATTGTGTATTCGAACTCTTAGTATTTGCGGGACACCCAAAGGCCTGAACAATTATTAGCAATTATATTTATTTTTCAGAGAAGTTCAGCTTATGAAATTTCAATTTCTGAGAAAATAAAACGGAAAATCTATTCGAAAAGAACACATTTTCTTATGAAGTCAATTTGTGGTAGATAATTGATTTCATTGAGTAGTCTTTAAAAATTGAGACGAAGAAATTATAAGTTGAATAAACTGAATAAAGAAATTTGCATAAATGAGGAGAAAAAATCGAATAAAACTTACTGTTCACCAAAATTTAATTCCTTTGGAGTGAATTGTAGTTGATTATTTAAGATAAATTCATTGTCTTCACTAAAATTTTCCTCGTTAAAATAAGATTTTTTAACTTTTAAAATCAAATTTAAAACCTACAGTTTTCCAAAATATAATTTAATAGTATAATATAATTTCAAATTCTTGCGTCTATCTGTGCGTGTGTATTATGAGCGCATATTTGTATGCTTATGTTTGTGCCTAATGGGAAAAACAGAATCGATCTTAAACTAATAAACTAATAAAGCCAATTATCAACTTTAGGAGGGAACTTTTAGTCTTTTTCAGAATTTGAGAAAAAATTAATATATACTTGCATTTTTCTGGAAAAAAATTCCACAGTTTTTCATTAGATAGAAAATGCAAATGTAAAAATATAAATTTCAGCGAATTTTGTTTGCAAAAAGTGATATCCATGAAATTAAATGATAACAAAAAACCTCTTAACAGCCGCTGCTCCTATAAGATTTTCATGATACTGAATATCAGAAAAATAATGCAGTTCATTACCAGTCTGTACAAAAGCAGTTGCGGCGACCGGTAAATTATTATTATCGCTACTGATATCAACTCCTTCAACTATCGATAGTGTCCCATAGGAAAAATTAAATAAATTTATTAATAATATTAAAATCAAACTATTATTTATCATTTTTGTCCATAGCAGCTTTCTGCAAATTTATTAAAATTTTTAATGCGATTATCAAAAATGACGAAATAGAATTAATTTAAAATAATTCACCTAATCCTTTTTTTTGCAAGAATTACATAAATATAAATCGAATCAAAGAAGCTTCATTTGCAGAAGAACAAAAATAAAAATTTTTAATATAATTCCACTGATAAATCGATGCAATAGAATAAAATCTTTAAATTGAAATTAATAGTAAAGATCGGGGATAAGGATCTTATATATCAGATACCCTTTCAAAATAAAAACTGTGATCCATCAAGATTGTGGTGTCCTTTCACCTATAATATTCAACTATGAGATAGATTGGATAATGGACATTACTTGACGGCACTCAAGAGATGTCCAAATCAGTCCAAAGCATCGTATCACCGATCTTGAATTCGCTGATGAGTCCTTTTTGCTGACGAAATGCAAATAATGCTAAATAACGTATCAGCGACTCTATTGAGAATTGGACTGAAAATCAGTAAATAACGAAAGTGTTTTCGTCTTATGTAGAAGAAGCTAATAAAATACCTCTTTTTGTAAATTCATTGCCGGTTGAGGAAGTGCCCGATTTCAAATACCTTGGATCCATCCTAATACCAAATGGTCAGGCAAAAAACGACATTACAGGCCGGATTACGGCAACGAGAAATGCATCCTTCCGGTTAACGAAACCTTTATGGAGCCATTTCGTGAAATCACCATAAAAACGAAAGTCCGCATCTATACTGCCATGATCCGTTCGATCTTACTATATGGTTCTATATGAGACATCGATCTTACTATATGGTTCTATATGTTACTATATGAGACATGGCCAGTGAGAGTGGAGAATATTAAGAAATTATCTGCTTTTGACCACTCTAAGGTATATAGGTATATATAAGGTATATGTTCTAAGGTATATTTTATGGCTTCCATCGAGCGGATAAAATATATGATCGCATTCACCTTCGTTCAAATATCCCTCCCATTAATAATTGCAGAGCATCGCCTTCGATGGTTAGGGCACATTCTCCGTCGTCCACCTTAGGAGTTGTTGCATATTTTGTTATTTGCTAAATCGTGTGATGGATGGCGTTAAAAGCGAGGTGAGCCAATCAAGACATCCACTGATACGATCGGAAAGGTTAACCAGCAATATATGGATTAAGACGATGGAAAAAGGAATGGTTTTTACTACTGTCGGCGATGGTATCAGACTGCGCCGCTTGGAAGCGTCGTAACATTGTAGTCGTTGGAACCAGCCTAACCAGTAACCAGTGAGGATGATCCGTTAGGAGAAGATATCAGATGCTGACAAAATATTTATACTTATCAATTTATCAAGTATCAAACTTTAAATATCGACTCTTGGATCGACTCTTACAACAAATGATCGTACAGCTAGAAATATAGAAATATACCACCCCGCCATGCAGCTAAGAAACATAACCAGTATGAGTGGAAGTTATTAAATATCAAGAATCTACCCTCGATCACATATCTCTATGGTAGATTATACTGAGCGGATCTCGTGCGACTGAATAGACTTTTGCTCAAATACTATGCATTCTACATTCTACATTCAAAATATCGTCAAAGAATGAACGCCTACACTGGTTAGGCCAAGTTGGTCGCCAACCAGCGCAGCAACCGACATATATCGCACCACTTGCTAAAGCCCGGATGGCATCAAAAGTAAGGAGGACGCAAGCGACAATACCTTTATAACCAGCAAAGCCAGCCTAACCAGTTATAATAAAGTATGACTTCACGAAAAAGATTCACGCTCTCTAACACAACTCTGAAATCGCCGCAAGATATGAAACCAATAACAGCACAATATCCGTCCTTACTCTCTCCACCGAAATTTTTCTTCCGAAAAAACAAAGAAAAGATTCTTTCTTCCGAGATAAATTTATTGAATGCATTAATAGAATAAACTAAAATTTACGAAAAGTCCACGGAAAAAGAGCGATATGTCTTTCGCAACATTTATGGAAAAATCTAAGCGAAGCAATGAACAATGCGGTGACAATATGATATTTTTTGGCAGTGATAGTTCGCTATTTTATTTTTTATTTTCATATTAAATATATAAAGGTGAATAAACGAAAATGATTAATAGACGGTGAAAAAACTCAACAAAAAAACGATCATTAAAATTAGATTATAATTGCGAAATATTAAATATAAACATAAAATAACATAAAATAATAAATAATAAGAAATACGTTATATTTAAGAATAAAAAATAGATCACTAGTTCACTAGCTCATGATCTAAATGTTTCTAAGAGAGAAATAGATCGCTAGTTCATTAGCTCATGATTTAAACGTTTTTAAGAGAAAAACAAATCACTAGTTCATTAGCTCATAATCTAAACATTTTTAAGAGAAAAAGAGAACTGATCAATAATTGCCATTAAATATAATGAATAGATCGATTTTTAGATGGCGAAAAAAAAAATTAAAAACTGGAAAGGAAGGAAGGAAACAATTCACTGAAATCCAGTTTCAAATACTTGGAAAACACTTAGATAGATGAATTGTTAAAAATTAAAAGCAAAATGAGCGATGTGAAAACTGGATGTAATCCCTCGGCAGTGGATAACCCACTCCCCTTCTCTTTCTTCTCCCCCCCACCCCCCTCCCCCACAATTGTCATTATTATGCAATTTAAGAAATCGAGATCGATAAATGAAGACTTAACAAAATGATAATATAACATCGTTTCGCATCAATGATCAATCAATCTGCTGTTTCTAGTTCGCAACGACATTTAAGAGACATTTTAAGTGAACGTAAACGAGGGAAAATCCCTAACTTTTCCCTTAAAAAAATCCACTGAAATCGAAATCTTCATGAGACCATTCCTTGCCAAAACGATTATATGAGATCAACGCTTTTCCACCCTAACAAACTAGAATGTCGTGAAAATGTTTAAATAAATTGTTAGAAACTAGGAGTAGAAAACGGAGAAAAAGCGTTAACAACCAGGTAAAATAGAACTTCTAAGGGATAATTAATGAAATAACCTTAGATAAGAACTTGAACTTAAGAACATAACTATAGGGTGAAAGGTCAGGTCAGGAATGAGAAAGAGGTCACGGAAAATACCCATAATCCAAAAAAAATTCCTCAACCACAACAAATATCACAATAAATAGAAGATAAAAATATTAATTCAAAAAGTTTTTGAAAAAGAAATTAAATTTTATATAAACTCAAGCCATTTGACCCAAGGAAATTTGTCATTAAAATAGAAATTCGGATGGCACTGCAAACCAATTTGCAACTATATCTTCAGGTAACTCTTCGGCGAAATGGTCTCGCACTTGAACGATATACTAATTATTGATAATGTGAGAAGTTCTCGCCAGTAAGTCACGACAGAAGTATAAGTGTGTCGCCTGCACCACTTGGATATTTCTAATGGCTACTCGATTGCCATAAGCCAAACTCTTGTCTTTCAAACATAATTGTTAACTATTACTGAGCCAGGTAATAGTTAATAAAGCCAGCCAGCACCATCAAAGGAGCAGAAGCAATTAAAATTCCACTATGACCCACGTTCGCACCACGCCATTTAAGAACTGGAAAATTTTAGTACTTTCCTAGTACCAATTCCCAGTGTCCTTATGTATGGTGGCAAAGAGGAGGGCAAAGAAGGAAAGCGAGTAAAAGAGAAAATGGCAAAAAGAGAGGAGCAGACACGCAGAGAGAAGAAAGTAAGAGGATTTGGAACAATATTTAATTTCAAATAAACAACTGAAATTTTAAAATTTTATTAAATAAAATTTTATCTATCTAACAACAAAATAGATTTTTGATAAACATTGATAAGAAAAAAATTTTTTCTTTAAAAAGTTTCCTCAAAAAATTGATCTTTGTTTATTTAATAAACAAAAACAACCAAACAATATTTTCAGTTTCGTTGAAATAAACTTGGAAGTTTGCCAAACTTTCATAAGAAATATCGTTTCCATAAATTCGTTTCAAGATTTAATTTAATTTATCTTTTGGCCAATTATTTAATAGCACTTATTATGAATTTGCTAATTACTTAATAAGGAAGGAAAGAAGACTACTAATCTGAAACTTATAGCATTATTTGAGTTGCCAAATAGTGTTTTTATACTACCTGATTTAAAGCATCTGCAATACTCGCAGCCAACCCCTTTCTACCTTCTAAGTGTGTAGATCGGACTATAGCGTAGGTTTAAGTCCGCGTCAGTTCACGTCTTGCTTCCTTAACTTTATATACAACAAGCTTTAACCTTTAACTAATTCACGAAGAATAATCGTTAAATCCCGTAAAAAATTGCCTGGGTCATGTATCTTAAAACCAATTCCAGCCAACTTCATTCTTAACTCAGAGAATGAAAATAAAGCAAATCTTATAAATTATTTTGTTGATAAGTGGATTCATTTTTCACTAAACTCTTTTAATAACGTAGTAAATTCAAAATGAACAGTTTTTATTCGATCAAAAAGAATAAAATACAAAAATTAAAAATATAAAATATAAAAATATCCGAAGCGCAAAAGCATTATTTATTAAATTACTTCAGCTTTTTCTTTGGTCGTAAATCGTTTGAATGGCCACATTTTTTTTTACGACAATTTGTAGCACGAGGCGGAAGGCGTGCATAGCACTTAATTTTAATCAAAATTTATCAAAAGTAAAAAAACAAACTGTACGATGAAATAAAAATTATCCACTAAACAGATATTTATACAAAAATAATATGTAAAATTTAAGAAATATCAAAAGAAATAATAAAAATGATTTTTCTCAAGCCTGAAAAAATCACTGGATAATCACTGATAAAACGATACTTACCTTACGACAAATTTGCTTGTCGCAATTGTACTTTTGAGCTAACATACGGAGTGATGGTTCAATAATTCCACCTCGCAAACGAAGAACCAAATGAAGGGTTGATTCTTTTTGGATATTATAATCAGACAATGTACGACCATCTTCCAGTTGTTTTCCTAAATAATTCCTAATATTATTTTCATTCCATTATCTAATATTCTTCAAGTTTGTGTAAAACTTTATTTAAAAACTTCACAATTAATTTCAACGGAAAAAGACAGCTAAATATGGTAATAAGAAAAAATAAAAATAATCCAAAAAATGACAAACCAGCGAAAATCAAACGCTGCTGGTCGGGTGGAATTCCTTCCTTGTCCTGAATCTTTGCCTTGACATTCTCAATAGTATCCGATGCTTCAACTTCAAGTGTTATTGTCTTACCAGTCAATGTTTTCACGAAAATCTGCATTCCGAGAACTGCAAGAAAAAAGAAAAGAAAAAACTGCAAGAAAAATCTGCATTTACACATTATTCGCTGCGAGTTGAACGTTGTGGCCTTTGAGGCCTTCACTTTTTTTATTTAAATCAAAAAACACTCAATCACATGAAACAAATCAAAATGCTGTTTATATAAATATGACGCAAACTGGAACTAAACAAATCGAAATAATCAATAAATTAATATTTGTCGCCACTTCTGATGACTGCTCGTGGTTCCCACCGATTTAGTGTAAATTTGCAAAGAAAAAAGAGATAGTTTATCCAATAAAAAAGTCAACCGGTGCCGGTAACAAACGGTTCTGGAATTCCAACTTTTATTTTCAACGATCTAATGAATAAAATCACAAGGAGAACTCGAAATTTTCCAGTATGTGAAAGAAAAGACCTCATGAATGCAACTGCAATTTCAGTACGAACTCCCATAAAGCACCGCGAACAACCTAGCTTCATGCCCCCCCCCCCCCACCACCTCCCAATGAAACTACTAAATTTTCCTAGAACCATCTTTTCCACTTAGTGTAATATAAGCTATTTCGACCGTAATTATCACCAACTTTCGTTTCAGGATACATTTTTCAAATTGAAACTTTAGCAACTATATTTCAGTTGTTTGATAAATTACATTTGAAATGGAGAATCATATGTTGGTTGCTATCACTGAGAAAATCCATATGCTGGGCCAACCTCTGTCCAAGTGACTTCTCTAGTAAAACTGGCTGGGCTAACCAAAAACAGTGCTACTAAGGTGAATAAATCTTGGCATTCATCGAACTATTATTTAAAATAGCCATTCATTTCATTCTACCATTTGTGACTTAATCAGCTGCGATATAATTGAAAACAAAAATAGCTGTAGACGTAGTCACATAGTCGTTCATGACTATCACAAAGAGCCAATATATTGAATAATGATAAAATGAGAGGAGTTTTAATGTAGTGCTATTAAATTCTTTAAGTTACTTCACAACGAATGTTTGAATTCCGTAAAATTTTTTTAGTTGTGCTTTTATTTGGAATAATAGTTGTTGATAAGTAGTGGCGGTGTGTTTATTTTCATGCACGATTGTACGATTTATTTCGCTCATAATTTAGCTTTCTGGCATTTCTCATCATTTCCGGTTTGGTTGGCTTCATAGATGCCCGCTGCCTGAGAAATTTTCGCGGTCTATTTTATTTGTGGCCAGAATTCGATAGAAACGAGACGGCTTCATATTGCTCAGCCTCAGCCGAAGCAATCATTTATGATTAGTTGAAACTTCTGCTTATATGTTATTGGTGGTTGGAGATTCAGGAAAAAAAGTATATTGCACATTTCTCTTCTCTTCACTTTAATTATTTTTGCATGGAACTGAAAGAGAAAAAAGTGAAGTTTTTAAATTATTTTTGATGATTTGAAAATTTGAAGGGTAAAAATTTAAAAGATAGTTGGGCTGGAACGACTTCATGTTTTCCAAAAGACCGACCTGCTGCTTTTGAAGAAAAGCGATCGAACCTCTGTCGATTGCTCTTATCGATTTGAAATTCGTTATTTTGTATTTTCGTGCTCCGATTCCTTTCACTTTCTTCGCTCTTTTTACAATGTTTTTGCTTATTTGCAATTTGTGGATTTTAATTTTATTTGTCGTTTTAAAGATTTCCTTTACTTTTATGATTTTTGATTTTTAAAAGATGGATTTTGTTGAATTTTTTAAAAGAAATTTTTTGATACTCTATTCTTCTTTCTTCTTTTAACAGTTCTCACCATTACTGGTTGGGCTGGCTCCAACGGCTACAAGGCTTCCTTAAGTCCATATATCGCTGGTCGCATTCACCTTTCCGATCGTATCAGTCGATGTCTTGATTAGTCTACCTCGCTTTTTAACGCCATCCATCACACAATTTAGCAAGTAACAAAATATGCGACAACTCCTGTCGTGGACGACGGAAAATGTGCCCTAACCATCGAAGGCGATGTCCTATGATTATTAATGGGAGGGATATTTGAACGAAGGTGAATGCGGGTAAACGAAGGTGATCTTGAGATATCTTATCCGTTCGACGGATCCATAATATGTACCTTTAGATAAGAGTGGTTAAAGGCAGGTAATTTCTTAATATCCTCCACTCTCACTGGCCATGTCTCAGAACCATATAGTAAGATCGAACGGATCACGGCAATATAGATGCGGACTTTCGTTTTTATGGTGATTTCACGACGATTCCATAAAGGTTTCGTCAACCGGAAGAACGCCTTTCTAGCTGCCATGATCCGAGTTATAATATCATCTTTTGCCTGTCCATTTGGTATTAGAGTGGACCCAAGGTATTTGAAATCAGGCACTTCCTCAACCGGCAATGAGGCTTACAAAAAGAGGCTTTTTATCAGCTTCTTGCACATAAGACGAAAAGACTTTCGTTTTATTTTTTACATTGATCCTGAGTCCGATTCTTGCTGCAGTTTCTGACACGTTATTTAGTATTACTTGCATTTCGTTATAACTGTCAGCAAAAAGGACTACATCATCAGCGTATTCAAGATCTGTGATACGATGCTCTGGACTAATTCGGACACCTCTTGAGTGCCGACAAGCAGTGTCCATTATCCAGTCTATCGCATAGTTGAATATTGTTGGGGAAAGGACGCAGCCCTGACGGACACCTGTTCTTATTTCGAAGGAATCTGTCAGCTCCCCATATACACAGACCTGCGCCGACGTGCGCTCATAAAATGCCTTTATGAGTCTAATGATTTTCTCTGGAACACCATCTGATAATTGTCCTGATTCCTCGATAATTGTCGCAGTATGTCCTATCATCTTTCTTGAGAATTGGGAGCAGAATTGCTTTTCTCCAATCATCTGGTAATATTTTTTTTCCCTACTAAAGAATTTAATTTAATTTATCAAATTTAATTTTTTTTTGTCTTTGGTAGGAGTAAACCTGCTATTATGTCAAAAATTCGGGTGACTGCTTGGGACTTACCTGCAATTCTATCTGCAAGTGACTCTATGGTGAAAGGGTCAGATACACATTTGATTCTCCATATATGCTTTTATATTAATTTGCTTTTATATTAGGCTAATTTTATATATCCAAGAAAGATGTTTCATTTGCTGATGTGGCTACCGTTAATTCGCGTAAATCTTACAGTTACAATTTACTATTTTTTTGGTCTTTTTTCGTCTCCAAATTTTTTTGCTATTTTTTATTTTTAATTTTAATTTTATTTTTTAATTTTCACCGAAATAACCTTAGTTCGATTTTTATACATCAGAGGATTTCTTTAGTCTATTTATTTATATGCATTGCCACAAGTTTCAGATAGATATGTGGCGTCCACCAATAAATCGTTTGGGTTATCAAAGAGTGGATGATAAGCCTGAACCTACTATTCGTTTTGCATCAACTTCAGGGTTTATGGGTTCAGTGCCACCACCTCCTTCGTTAACAACATCAAATGTAGCAGCTTTAGCAACAACTTCACGAGAGATGGACAAGAAAAAAGAAGAAGAAGTAAATTTTTACAGTTTTTTTTATCAAAGAAGCCAAAACCAAGAATCTTCAAAAATTTTTTCGAGAATATCCGTAATATGCTATTGATTTGCTATCCATAATTAAGAAGAGTGGGATTTATAAGATAGTATTGGTTAGTGCCCCACATAATTTTTTCTGACTACCTACTTCTAAAAAAAGGTTCTGAATCGATTCTGAAAAAAACTAGGTCACATCTATATTCTCGCTAGTTTGGCGATGTCTCTTGATCCATGAAATAAGGTAGAGCTTGCTGCTACTTCTATATTTCCATAACTTCCATTTATGTTATTTTTATGATTTTCTTCCTTTTCATAGAAGAGGGAAATGTTTTTCTTGACAAGTTAAGTAATTTTTTTGCTTAGATGGGTAAGATCCTTTGGAGGTTTTAAAGGGCATTATGATTTTGTTATGTTGTTAGTACGATGCTCTGATGTCAAGCTGTGGTGCGAATGCAAATGCCAAGAGTGGACCTCGTAAGAAGCGAATCTACGATGACGAGTAAGTAAAGCATGAGCATATGTAAGATGCATAGCTGAATAAACTATGTTTATACAAAAATTATGACATTTTCCACACATTTTTGATAAAATTTTTTGGTCTTTTGAGTAAATATTCATTAATTACAATAATTTTGCATAGTTTCATTTTTTTCATTTTTTTAAATTTAGGTATTTGGAGAAAGATTCGGATGAAGAACTTGATTATCAACCAGCTCCCAACTCTCCAAGTGGAAATGTAATAATACAAGATGATGGTGAAGAAGATCCATTAGATGCATTCATGGCTGATGTCGATAAACAAGTTCATTTATTTCTTATTTTATTTTGTATCATATTTTTATATTTTTTTCACTTCATGTCCATGTTTTTTTTTAATTGAAATCACCAGTAAATAATGATTTTAAGGCTAATGCTGATAAAGCCGCCAGTGAAATGAAGGATAAAGAACGAACTATGCAAATCGAAAAAGGATTAAGTGTTGATGAAAAAAAAATCAAGGGATTGGGACGAGCGGATATAGAGGAACAAGATATGCAAGAATCATTTTTCAAGTATTTTTTTATTTTTTCATCAAATTTTCTAAATTATTTAAGACTCTGCTGTTCTGAAAAATATTATATAAAAATATATAAATTTTCTGAAATATTTTTAATATACAAATGAACATGGATTATTATTTTTACTGTGGCAGCTTTTATTTCCCAATTTATATTATCTGATACTTAACATGATTTTTACATGATTTTTTATGAATTTTTTTCACATCAACTGGAATAGTTCTGAGTTAATCCAAATATAAATAAATATAAGGAAAAAATTTTCAGTTACATGGAAGAGCATAAAATAAGCTCAAATGAAGATGAAAATGAATATGAATATGATGAAGATGGCAATATCATATGGAGTTGGAAAAAAATTATTGACCCATTATCTCCTGTCGATCATTCATCTATTAGCTATCCAACATTTAATAAAGACTTTTATGCCGAACATGAACAAATAAAGTAAATATTTTTAATTTTCTATCATTTATCATCATCAGATAAATTTTTTCTCAGATATTTATGACTGAATAATAAGCAATTTTCTAGCGGACTTTTTTTTCTCTTTTTTCTTAAAATTTTTTAATTAAAAAATTTTTCAGGTCTTTGAGTTCATTAAAGGTATTTGAATTAAGAAATCGGTTGAATCTGAAAGTGGCTGGATTTAATGTACCAAAGCCTGTAACTTCTTTTGCTCATTTTGGCTTTGATGAACTACTTATGAATGCTATTCGAAAGTCTGAATATGAGCATCCAACGGCAATTCAAGCTCAGGTAATTTTTAGTATCTTATCAATGATTCCTAGGTCAACTTCATTAAATTCTTTTTAAATTCCTCTGAAAACATTGCTTGAATAGAAAGAATATTCTGGAGTGAACCTCGTTACAGTTCGAATCTATTTGATATGAATATTTAGCAGCATTTATAAATATAAATAAAAAAAGGAATATTTTTCTAGGCGATTCCTGCATGCTTATCTGGTCGTGATGTTTTGGGAATAGCGAAAACTGGTAGTGGTAAAACCGTAACATATTTATGGCCTGCTATTATCCATATAATGGACCAACCTGATTTACAAGATGGTGACGGGCCTATTGCACTCATTGTCGTTCCAACTCGTGAACTAGCCCTTCAGGTATGAAAAAAAATTTTTATTTTGCCGATAAGTTTTCAATCATTTAATTTAATTTGATATTAAGGTTTACCAAGAATCGAAACGTTTTTGTAAAGTTTATAATATTACATCAGTGTGTGCCTATGGTGGAGGGAATAAATGGGAACAGCAAAATGCACTTAAAGAAGGAGCCGAACTTGTGATAGCTACTCCAGTTATTTTTTTTCTTTTTTGTTGAATACTGGGATTATGGCAACCTATTAAACTTCCTTCGTACTGTAAATTGGTGAACAAAATATAAATATCATAAAATCAATTTATATAGTAATCTGTGGATTGCAATTATTTCGACGTTTCCTGAAAAATTTTGTAGGACTGCAAAAATATTTATTATTACATTTTTTAAATTTCAATATATAAATATTCTGTTGTCAGTAAATGTAATTTTTTCTTATTTCTTTTGTTTAGTTTTTCATTATTCATTATGGCATCACACTTAATTTTAAACAATTTCAACTTCAATATAACGATTTTGACTTTAGGGTCGAATTATTGATTTAGTGAAAATCGACGCTACAAATTTTAGACGTGTAACGTTTTTGGTTTTCGATGAAGCGGATCGAATGTTTGATATGGGTTTCGGTATTGCTTTTTATGCTAAATTTTTGGAAGTTTGAATAGATAAAATAGATTTTCATGAATTTTTTGATGAAAAAATATCAAGAGCCTTGTGAATAAGGTTTTGAAAAAATTTAAAAAGTTAATTTTTATTTTTGAATTAAAAAGTTTGGTCCAAAAATTTATAAACAAATGAATTACAAAAGCAATATTTATCAAAATTGAAATTGAAACATCCATGGAAAAATAAAATAGTGGCAAAAATTTCTATGGGGAAATGGTCAGAGTACTAAAAGATGAGAGTCATTGCTATGAAAAAGGCGATTAGATAAATAAAGGTAAAAATTTCTGTGGTGGACTGAACCGACGATTATATTAAATGGAAATGAGAAAACTGTAAATTTATAAGGAAACGGAAGGTGTTGAGAGCAAAATATGATAGGATAGGATATGAGGCAAGATATGATAGGATATGAGGCAATAGGGTAAGTAAAATGAGATTGCCAAAATAGTGTATGATTAAAATAAATGAAGACATGAATTTCTGTGGGATGGATGATAAAATTTTGCTTTTAGAAGGTAAAAAAATATTTTTTTTAGAGACTCAGGTCAAATCGATTTCCGATCATATTCGTCCTGACCGTCAATGTTTGATGTTTAGTGCAACTTTTAAGACGAAAGTTGAACGTCTAGCACGAGAGGCTTTACGCGATCCTGTGCGAATTGTCGAAGGTGAAATTGGAGAGGTATGATTATTCATGAATAATTATGAATATGTGATTATTTAATTTTTTTTTACTCTTTATTTAATTTTAATATTTTTTTAATATTTACTATTATTTACTATTATTTAATATTATTTTTAATATTTAGCTTTTTTTTCTAGGCTAATACAGATGTAATTCAAACAATTGAGATTTTGCCAAACGTTGAGGCGAAATGGGCATGGCTTTTAAAACGACTGGTCGAATTTTGCTCAAGTAGGATGGTTATGACTGAATTCATGTTGATGTTATTTTTGTTATTCTGATGATTAGAATGATTAAAAAGTATTATATAATAATAAAAATATTATATATTTTCAGAAGGTAAAGTACTAATTTTTGTGACGAGAAAACAGAATGCTGAAGAAGTTGCTCAGCGCCTTCGAGTTAAGGATTATGTTTTAGTCTTGCTTCATGGTGATATGCTGCAAGCCGAAAGAAATGAAAAGTTATATCGATTTCGAAAAGATATTCCAATTATGGTTGCCACTGATGTTGCGGGTAATTTGAAAAATTTTAAGATTACATAGATGCAATGATTCAGCTTTTGAAAATGTTTTCTCGATGAAGCGATTTCTCGATGTTTGTTATTCATATATATATAATATATGTATATATTCAAATATATTTATTTTTTTATTATTGCTTTAATTTTTTGGTATTTCTATTTTCTTGGTAATAATACCAATTTCTCGATATAATCTTTATTTCAGCTAGAGGGCTTGACATACCAGAAATTCGCACAGTTATCAATTATGATTTAGCTAGAGATATTGATACGCATGTTCATCGAATTGGTAGAACTGGTAGGGCAGGTGAGTCTTCTACCAATCTTACAAATATGCACTTTTTCCTTCATTTTTTTTCATTCCTTGTATTTCATTGCAAATAAATTTAAAGAATGTTCATTTATAAAATATAAAATAAAAATTTGTGGTTTACCTCTCAATGAACTTTTTCATTATAGGTGAGAAAGGTTGGGCATATACGCTTATTACAAGTAATGATGTTGAGATGGCAGGTCATTTAGTGCAAAATTTGGAATCTGTCAATCAGCCTGTACCTGAAGCGTTGATGAAGTTGGCCATGAAATCACTGTGGTTTAGAAATGCCAGAGAAAACGAACATGGAGGAGCTAAAGTTAGGCAGAGACTTGGTTTAGGATATAAACCGAAAGTTAAAACTGGTATATTTTTTTGAAGTGAATGATAATATTTTGGAACATTTCGAGCGAAGTCAATTTTTTACGTTTGAAAGCCTTGGTTTGATTTTCACCAAAAAATTATAAAAAAATTTTAAATAGTTTCTTCGTTTTTGAGGTGTTAGCCAAACAGGTGCTACAAACCGAGCATTATCGTTTGAGATCGATAAAAGTAAAACAAAAAGTGTATTAGATGCAGCGAAAGTGAGCGATGGATCAACAAATCGTTTTCAGGCTGTTAAAGCTGCATATAAAGTAATTAATCATTTTAAAGCTAGAATTTTTTTGAGAGATTCATCGTAACTTATAATTTACTTAAGTTTTTTTCTTTTCTTTTACTTAAACAGGACATTTTATTTTGCAGTCATCATTTCAATCAACATTCCGTGCATCCTCCAATGATGAATGGGCTCAAAGTCGCACACCAGCAACAGATCCAAGACCTGAATGGAAGCGGAAATTGGATGAGGCAGCGGCTGCAGTCGCGCAGCAAATATCTGAAAGCAGATAGCCATTTCTATTTTAATCCATTTTATTGAAAGAGAAATTTTACAGTTTTTATGTTTTGGATTAGCTCGCTTTAACCAGCTTTATTATTTAGGTGAAAAACATGGTGACAAATATGATAGCATATCGTTTGGCAGTAAAAAACGATCTCGCTGGCAATAAAATGTAGAAATCGTCATCGAAGTGAACTTAATTCTGAGATATTTCTGTAATGTGAACAGAGAATTTTTTTATCAGAATTTATTTATTTCAAACCATATTGAATTCTGTATTATAAGGACTCTGTATTAATTCGCCAAAATTTATCTTTTTCATATTTAAAAATCACTTCTGGGCAAAAGTGCAGATGTATTGCCAGTGTCACGTTATGATTGTGTTGTAGTAATAGAAGAATACTGAGATTTGTATAGCGACTTACTTTAAAACCTTTCATTAATATCTGCTCTACTTGCGAAAATTATTTTGAAGGTCTGCTGGAATCCTGCTGAGGATTCCATAAACTTCATCAATAAAGATGGGATCGAGACTGCGCAATTCATTGCTGAGTGCATCGTTATTATGCTGCTAAAAAAGCATCATTAAACTAAAGCTTCGTTAAAAATTAGCCTAATTTACAAATAAATATTTTTTCTTTCTTTTGTGAAATGGTAAAAATTTGGTTCAACAAAAGATGCTTCCAAAATTTCTTTCAATCATCATTTTAAGATAATTGTAAACTATCAGAAGTAGAAGTTCTCATCGTTTCAATAAATATTACATGAATGCTTCTTGCGGATCCTTGTAACCATTATTGACGATAAGTGCTGTTAGAGCATAGCAGAATGATTGAATTACGAAGCTGGACGTTTGTAAAATTACAAAACTGATTGCTTGAAGGATGTTTCGTTTTTCGGTTTTGCATAGAGTCTGTAAAATTTTTGCGAATTATAATAGGGGATAGGGATAAATTCGCTTTTTTCGAGATTTATAATAATTTATCGCGCAATTTTTACTTATAAATAAGTGTAAGCAAATTTTTGTTACCATATGGTTCGCTAATTTAAGAGAAAATAACGAATCTGAAGAAGCTTACACTGTAAAGCTTACATTGATGGATTGCAACGAAAAAAGTCCAGAAAAATGATATGGGAGTATAAATAATTTGATAAATTTTGCTTGCTATTTCTGTATTGTCTTGCGTTAAACTCGATAATCAATAAAATACCTGAGGTGATAAATATTCGTCGCTATCATTGGCGAATCGAGAATCTTCGCACTGATAAAATGTTAATTTCATTTGAATAGCGAAGAAGGAAATAACGCATATTATTCCAAATATTGCCACCTAAAAGCAGTTCCACTATTTGTTTTATCATTTTTATTATCATTTTGCCTTATTTGAGAACGAATTTATCGATCTTTCTTTGCTATAAAATTATTAACGAATTATGAGAATAAAAAAGAAAAAGCGCTTACTTCCCAGCTAAACATAAATGCAAGCAAAATATTAAGAACGATGGATACGCTCATTGAAAGTAGCTGAGATCCATAGGGGTAAAACAACTGTAATGAATAGTATTATTATTCATTAATATATTATTTTTATTATTAATTATTTTTATTAATTATTATTAATTATAATTATTATTGTCAATGTCGTCAGTTGTTATTATTATTATTATTATTATTATTATTATTATTAATATTAATATTATTATTGTTATAATTTTTTATACATAATTTTTATTGTTAATTGTTTATTATCGTTAATTAATATTATTGGTTTATTAATATTAATTATTGTTGTTATTGTTGTTATTATTTTCATTTTTATTGTCATTTTTACGAAATATCGCGAACTGAACTTAATAATTTTATTTATTTATTTCTTTCAAAAAATATGTTCCTTAATGTTTTGATATTTGATGGAACTCGAGCGAAAGGTTCCCAAACATTTCTTTTCTCACCTTTTTTCTGCATTGTTATTAGCGAATTGTCGTTTATTTTTTTTTTTGTGTCGAAATTAATAGCGTCGATTTATAAATTTGTAATTTTTGGCATAAAATGGCTAAATTACCCAAGTTTGAGATTGGCCAAATTGGCCAATGAAATATTGTCTATAATTTATCAGTTATTAAAGCTATACCTCAACTTATAGCAAAATTAAATCTAAAATTCAGCTGGTAGCATGATTTAAATTAATTATTATCAAGTGGTAGCATGCGCTTATCAGTGCACAACCGTAATAAATCACTGGCAAAATCAATATTACCAATGAGCCTAGTCAATTACATTTGTGTTTTTGGTGCCTTTGCGAATCGTAAAAGCAGTTGCTTCTTTGGATTCGACAACCGTCATGAAGGGCAATCTGGTTCCTTCGGGAAGCAAAAAAGAAATAAAGGAAACAAGTACGGTTTTGCTATCTCAGATATCCACCTTAAAGTGGTGAAAGCCAATCAGTCTATCAACCAGCTAACCAATCTATTTCAACTCCTTCCTTAGCCAACTGGTGATGAATCAAATCGATATCCTTCGCAATCCGGTATGTTCAAAATCCTGACCGATAAAATTGTGATTTAAATTCCTTTGGTTTCGAAAATTTCGTTAAAATTTTTTCCTTTCTTTTTCTGGTATCAGTTTCGTGTCATTTTGAAACTTTTGAAACTTTCTCATTTTTGCCAAAAATTTTCTATTCTCATTTTCTTTTATCATGGCAGCAATTTTAAAATCAGATCAGATCAGATCAGCATCAAATCATTGTATAGGAGGAATTTATCGAAAATCATCAAATCATTGTATAGGAGGAATTTATGGAAAGAAAATATCGTGAAATAAAGAGGACTTTAATGCTATAGATTTCTCGATAGCTAGCATATCAGTCGGTTTACGTTTACTGTCATAAAATTTATCAACCGAGGAGGGATAAGTAAAGTCTCTCACCTTGGTTAGTGCCCTCCAAAGTAACGATCGTTCAGTGAAAGAAGAAATATGATTCTTTCTAAACAGGTCGAATCCAAGGAGCGGAAAATATAGCAAAAGATTAGAAATGAATACGCGTAATTTTGCAGTTAAGGCAAATGTAATTTATAATAGCTTTCAGTAAAATAAAATCAGTTAGATTTCCTTTTTTCCTTCAAATTCCAGTTTCCCACTTTAAGCATAATTTTCAGTTAGTTCGATTGCCAGTTGTCATGCTCTTCACCGCGAATATTAAACAATTCTCTTCTTTCAGGGAGAGGAAAAGGCTGCTATAGGGTCGTAAAAAATAGAAAATGGATTCGAACCAGTAATTAACTTGCAACAAATTAATTGTCGATTAGTCAAGGATCAGTGAAGCGGAGATTGACATCCTTTCATGAATTCAGAGTAGTAGATCGTAGTTTAGTGGCATGCCAAAATAGCGAATCAAATATTCAAAGATGATGATAAGGAGCCCGCAAAATGCAAAAAGATAATTCAATAATGTCGAGGAATGGCCTAATGAAGGATACAAAAGTCCTGCACAAATAGCCTTTTTGCTTTCGCCGTTTCGCGACACAATCTTATAGAGAAAGACTTTTGGAAAATCGTAGAGGATCGATAATAAACATGGTAAAATTACATTAAGCTAAAAAATATTTGTATTTTATCATGGATTCATTAACTTTCTCTGAAAATCGAGAATACTTTGAGCTAATATTGAAAAAATGAGGTAGATTAACCAAGTTGAAAGGAAACGGTACTAAACTATTTCAAAAGAAAAACCAACCCAAAGGGGATAACCTACCATAAAACCCCAAAAATCACAACTCGACATCAAAACAAGCAATACGAAACAATACACAACGATGCTCCGCTCGCCGAATCTATGTGCTTATATGGTGTTTTCGCTTACAAAAAAAAGAATTTTTAATGGGAATGGCATGTAGAATGATCAACCAATTATAGATAGAAAAACTACAATTATCCGATTATATCAATAAAAATACGTGATACGTATATAGATAAAATATTTCTCATGCTACATTAGTTTTAAAAAGAGTCGCTCAAGGAAAAGTAAAATTAAAATCTTTCTCAGAAATCTTCGAAACCATCGATAAATATTCGATGTTTATGAGAAAAAAGAAATTGAATCGCTGAAAATATCATCTCATACCCTGATAAAATTAGTCTCAGCTCATCCTTCAGCAATGGACCCGAATCACTTGCGTTAGTTGAACCATCGCCTTACTCTCGTATTGATATATTGTATTGGCCCAGTCGATTGTAGATAGACTTTCCTGTCTTTTAACATTTTAAGGTCTTGTTTTTAATAAAATGAAATTTATCTTTAAAACACCCGAAATCTCTAAATCTCTGCCATAATAATCAGTTTGTAATCAGTTGGAAATCACTTCTTTTTCTGTGCAGGAATAATTATGTTGCGATCATTGATCTATTGTATACTATCAAATCACTTCTTCTTGCGACCATATAGATAGATGATTTCTGAGGCAAATATGTTCGCTATAATTGAATCTCTGTTTATAGGGGCAATTCCATTGATTATATCACATTTTCCACAGTTTTTTATATTTTCTTGCATCTTCAGAACGTCTGTTTTATTGTATTCTTTATTTTTCTAACATTTTCAACGCCTTTAATTGTATTTTAATTTTCGCAACTTTTTCAATGCCTTAATTATATTTTTCAAGTTATTTTACCATTTTAGTTATATTTTCTCTATAATTGAACCTATTCTACTTTTAAATTTCTATTTTCATCCTCCCTTAGGGTTTTCCAAAAGTCTCTGTAAGAGTGAGTTAATTCCCAACAATAGATCCCTTTCCAGAGAGTTGGTCCTTTGCATAATAAGCCCAATACGCTAAAGAATAATTTGAGCCTTTGCATCGATTGACAATTCTAACTTGATTAGTAGTTCGATGATCCATCGGTTTGTTTTCTTAGCGATATTTTCGGGAGTTATTTTTAAGCTTCAAAAACATCAATATTCCTTTTTTCCCTTGAAGTCCGAATTTTCCTGGAGAATTTTCACGAAGAAAACCATGGCTTGCATAATTCTAATCGCATATTTGAATATATTTTTTCCAAGGCTTTCGTGGTTATTCTGCCCAGTGCCTAGTCCGCATCGTACTTCATATTGGTTGTTGGTGATTGATTCTATGAAAGCGAACAAAAGCGATTCACCACTTCGATGCATTGATTAAGTTCGAAGGCTGATTTTTCTATATTTTATCATTAGTTTAGTCTTCTTTATATTTTAGCTTCAATTCCACATTCTTACTATTTGGCTTTTAAAACTAAATTGGAAATCCCTTGCATTCTTGGCTTGGCTTTTACCATATTTCAAAACTGCTTCATCTTCTTGCAAACCAACTTCCCTTAATATATTTGAATATATAAAGGAAATAAAAGTGGCTTGACGAAATACAATTTAAAGGGATGGATATCCAGGACTGGCGTTCGGGCATTTCGTCCACTGGAAGTTCACGAGTTTCCTTTCGTACCTTCTTTATTCTTCAGTGAATGTCATCATATGACTCTCTCTCACCAAACATTTTCTGTGGTTTTCGCAAGAATGGACTTGCATTGCCTTCCTCTATGTAGTATGAAATCTTGCGCTTAATCGCTATCGCTATTGTCACAGAAGTGATCTTCTTCCTCCAGCACCGTTCTATATCACAATTGCTCAATATTTAGGTTTTTATTCACTATAGTCGGCAACCGGGTTGATCTTCATGGGACCATGCATACTTTTTTATGCACTTCCACAGACATCATATTAAAATTGAATTTAATTCTGGTCTTCTTATCCTATTTATGATGGGAAATCAGATATTCTCTTATATATTTTCAAAACTCGAGACGATTTATAAATAACACAACCTTTTTTAAAATAAGTCAAAATGTTTCTCAGTACTCGATTCTAGGTAGAAATGGATTTTTGAGGCAGTCATAATCTGTCTTTTATGAATTTTTAGTAGTCCTCCTCTCCTTCTTTGAAAATTTTAGTAATCTTAATTATAATTTTAGTAATTTTAGTAATCTTTCTGCGCGCCATTCCCATTAAAAATTCTTTTTTTTGTAAGCGAAAACACTATATATAAAAGCACATAGATTCGGCGAGCGGAGTATCGTTGTGTATTGTTTCGTATTGCTTGTTTTGATGTCGAGTTGTGATTTTTGGGGTTTTATGGTAGGTTATCCCCTTTGGGTTGGTTTTTCTTTTGAAATGGTTTAGTACCGTTTCTTTTCAACTTGGTTTTGTTAACTGATAATTACTATCTTTATTTCCTATTTTATTATTAGCTCTATATATATATATATATATAAAATCTTCATTAATCCGTTGTTTTTTAACTTGCGTTATAATTGGTTTAATTACCCAAGCTTGAAATCCCTCTCCTTGCTTGGGTAAGGCAATAAACAATTGGATCATCAACTGGTAAACCGTATCCTTCCCGGAGTGTAGTTTCATCAGTCCAATATCTTATTCTAACCACACCGTCGATTCATTCTCCCTCAAATCTCTTCTCTCTCGACAAGTCATCGATGTTGGAATATCGAACTTACTAATTTCATTTATTGGCTAGCCATTGGCTTGCCACTTTCACGCCATCTAAACTTTATTCGTGACTCTTAAAGTTGTTTCCACTGAATCTGTTGTGTTATACCGTCTTTGATTTTTTTTCACTATGTTCGAATGTTTCTTTTTGAAAAGCATATTTCTTGATATGTTCGTAATCATTTCTTGATCATGAAATGCAAAATTTCATTGGAATGTCTGAAACATTTTTAAAATTTTCCCGGATTTATCCTTTTTTTAACAAGCATTTATTTTTAGAGAAATATTTTTGTGCATCTACAATTTTTTGCATTAAATGCTTTAATTATCCAGGCTTTGAGATTGGCTAATAAAATGTTAGTTATTGCTTTTTGGTTATAAAGTATTTTTGTCCTAAATTTGTGGAACCAGCGGAAATTTACTAAGTCATGGCAGAGTACAATCGCCGCACGTCAAACAATATTACCGATCAATTCAGTTTTTCTCTCAATAAATTATTGGAGCAAATTTCATAAAATATGATTATTTTCTGAAATTACTGGGTTAATTGATCATTGATCATTTTCACGCGTTAAGACTTTAAGACTTTCATTTATTAAAATATCTAAAATATGCTTAAAATTTTGATTCAGAAAAAAAATTTAAATAGATCGAAAATCTTACAAGAAATCGCCTACAGCCTAGCAGATATCAGTAAAACGGACTCACCGATATTATACAGTCGGACAAATTATCTTCTTGTAGAACCAATGCATTGATTTCATTTTTGCATAGAGTAATCAGATTTGATCCAAAGTGAACACGAATCAGATTTATATGAATGGTTATGGCCAAATGCTTAGCTACAGTTGTCATCAAAAACATCTTAATATTTTGGGAACATAATTATCCGATTATTTTCAGAAAATCCAATGAATGAGAAAGGAATAAGAATGGCTATCCCATCATTTGAGAATGCAGAGCGGTGTAAAAGCTAATATTCTTCCCGTTATAACTGAATCATCAGAGCCACTTGCTTGCTTGCCAAGTATATTTCTTCAGCTGAGGCCTAACACTAGTGGTCCCTTGGCCTGGGCGAGCTATCGTGAAAAGTGAAGTCTTGTCTCTTTCTCTTTTCTAGAGTTATCTGTGAGATAAAGAATTGCATCCTTGTCGAAGTGCTAGAAGAAGAAAAGGAATTGAATTCAGTCGACCACTCTTTTTATTCCCATCGCACTTTTTCACAAATTTTTCATTTTAAATGTAGTTGGTGGAGCATTTGCCGATCATCCGCCAACTAATTCCCCACCAACTAGTTTAACAAATCAACCTTTAGCTAATTTTCCGTTAAATGGCCGACTCAAATTTTTTTCTGTTGAAATTGTTACTTAGAAATGAGTGTTGCGACAATTAATGAATAATTATTTTACCGTTAAAATTTTTGCAGAGAAAGCGATAATGCCAAAAGTAACAAAAGCAATGGCTCCATTTGCTAATTTATCCATCATACGAACGCGTGGCTCTAGCATTGCCTCGAAGATTTTACCCATAGTAACATTATATGTTGGCGATTCAAAGCCATGAATTATCGTTGTAAACAGGCCAAGTATCTAAATTCTTCCATTATTCCTCCATTATCTTCTTTGCCTTTTCCCCCCAAGAAATGAAATTTCACCAAAAGAAGTCGGCCATTCTTATGAGTCCTGAGGATTTGATTAGTTCGCCTGAAAAACTGCGTTGATAGCCATTCTTCCTTTCCTACTTTTCGATCAAATATTGTTTGAATAATAACCATCTGTTGAGTACCACTTTCGATTTCCAGCTTTGATTTCAATCTATTTTCATTTATTTTCTGAAAAATTCACTGACCTCATTAACTTTAAAGAAAAAAAAGTTATGAACGTAAGTGCACAGAGAGAATTCAGTGTTTTGCAAATTAATCGAATTTTTTGTTGCATAAAAAGAGAGAAAATAATGATTTTAAAATTTCCTTAGGAATTTCCAAATTCTAAAAGTGAATATTCCTTAAGAGAAATATCGTTGCGAAAATATGAAATTGCAGTCTTACATTATTTTCGACAAATGCTTCCGTGTCACAAATACATTCAGCAAGAGAAACAGCAGAGATTATTGATCTGTACTGAGGCACTAAATTTATGAAAGAATTCGATATGAGTACCATCGATAAAACAACGATAAAAATGTCGCCCTGCCTCCGTAAAATACCGATTTCCAGAAGATATCCACCATATCTGCAATCAACGATTGGAAATTATCAAAGATCGTTAAAAACAACAAATTTTTTTCGTTAGTATCAGACGTTTATTTAATTTAGTTATTGAATGGATAGATTTTACCTCAAATTTTAATGTATTGACTGGTATAGGAGAATAATAAAACAATAATAAATATTATAGCTGTGATAAATTTCGGATTTATGGTGACTTATATACTTTTTATGCTATTTTTAAAGTTATTCATATGATCCAACAATGTTCTTGAAATCAATTGTCGTGTGCAAATTGTCACCAACTGCGAATCCTCTTGTTAATAATGAAAAAATTCTATCTTATTTTTTTCCAATATTGCTCACCATTTCTGGTTAGACTTGCTTTGTCAAATGACAAATTTTCGTTTCCGGAAATTGTTTGATCGTAGAAGCATACGAATTGCCAGCAAATCACTCGACCTACGTCCTACGTGCATTTTTTGATATATCCTAGCAATAAGAATTGTTTTCGAAATTTTTTCACAAAATTATAAAGAGGAGAATTAATTTTAAGCTTACAACATGCCACAGCCGACGAAAATCATAACGATGAGAGTTAAAAATGCGCCACTAATAGTTTGCCGGAAGTGTTTCAAAATTTTATATGAAATTGATCCATATAGCTCATCGAAAAGCTTTAAAAGGCGCTCATCATCGCAGATATTTTGCTGATAAGATTCTTCCTTCAAAAGAAATCCTTTCTCCAAATTTTTATTTGAGGTCTTTTTTGATCGAAAAAAATTCATTTTATTATTCAACTGAAAAGATTGAAATATAAAATTGAAAACGACGAAAGGAAATCTCACGTGGAACTCAAATCTTAGTTAAATTTTGCGAAAAGTTTCTATTTAAGAAAGAAAAATTCATATTTAAGCGGTTAAATAAGTTTTTTAAAAAGCATTTAAGAGTTTGAACATAAAGGAACCTTATCGAGCAGATAATGAACAAGAACGCATAGTGGAATGAAGACAATAATAAGAAGAGGCAACTGCTTTATGTGGAAGAATGATATAAGTGTGGATGATATGATGACGGTTAAACTCCGGCATAATAATTGAAAATTTTCGAATCCCTCACGTAGAATTTGGATTTTACTGAAAATCAAAAAGATAGGAGCATCGCCGGAAGACTCAAAGTATGCAGTGGAACTTCGTGAATATCGCTAAGCCTAAGAATATAGTTAAGGGAAGATGGGATATGATAGAGAAAAAGTGGCCAAGTGGATTTTAAAACCCCTTTCCCCATCGATGTTTCCTATCTTTTCCAAACCCTTTTTTTTAAATAACCAACAATTTATCATTCAATTTCCATCAATGAGCCACTCGCTTTATTTGTTTCTATAAAATTTAAGGATTTTTTTTCGTAACTTTCTAAAAATATTCAATTTATTGCAGATTAAAAAGTTGAAAATAACCGACTTATTTAAATCCGCCATAAAATTTTTTCGCAAAAATTTATTTTCACAACGATTTATAGATAAATTTGCATATTTTTTCCGCAAATTGAATGCAAGCCATTCACCGAAATGTGTCGACAACGTGTGCTAAAATTTATCATCAAACTTATTAAAATTATACTCGATTAAAAGAATTGTATCGGTAAGTTTGAGCCGAAATCTGAAAGCAGATCTAAGCCTTAATTCTTAATGTACTATTTGACAAAGTGGCGATTATCTGGCAGCCTAGTTTTGTAAATATTCGTCTTTTCCTTCTATATCATTATTTATAGTTTCGTTGGCTGTTTTATTGTCAAGATCAGATCCACAAGTCATTTAAGATAAAACATCAGTCACAAGTGGCACCATCCAAATTTAGAATTATCCTTGTTCTTATTAAGCGTTAATACGTTGTCAATCCATTACTTGCTAGCTTATTTTGCGTAAATAGAAATTATCAATCAGTTATCAGTTAAGTTATAATATTTCCTTTTTTCCTGTTTTATTTCCTACTATCTCATTAATATCGTATTGTTATTGTTTTATTTTATTACTGTAGGGTTATTGCTATTGCTCATCGGATTGATCTTCCAAATAAATATCAGCAAATATTAAAATAATTTCCTTGAAGCTTCAAAGATTTTTTTTCAAAAGATAATCAAATAACCGCTTAAAAAAATAAATAATGAAAAAGGAAAAACCAATGAAAAATTTGCAATAATCGCTAGAATATATATCGAAAATAGAATGGAAATATATTCAGTGGTATGAAAACGGAAAAGCGGAGTGTGCGGATTATCAGTTAATAAAACGTGCTTTATCAATCCGGTTAAAACAATTATAATCGATGTGCAACATCCATTTATAACTGCACAAAATATTCCAAGAATTAGAAAATAAGCACCACGAAAGCCATCGATGCAAATCTTTAATTAAATTAACATGGATTTTAATATTTTAATAAATATTCTCATATTTCTCCCTTAATGATAAAATTAAATTTTGAAATATAGAATTTTGAGTTTACTTGGAAAATAAAAAATTTTTATAGGTTTCCCCATTAGTTAACAATAACAATAGCTTTTGACAAAAAATATTGAAAATTTTGTGAAGAGAATATTGATGCTAAGTGTCCTTCGCCGAGTTAAGGTTGAAGTTCTGGGACTTCGTGAAGTTTGCTTTTAAATTAGTCGTTTTGAAGTTGAAATTAATTGTTGTAAATTACTAAATTGCTTAACATTCAATTCCACATACAATTCTCATTTTTGGCGATATTTTAATTGTGCTTTAACGAATTGTAAAAAGCAAACTCACCAAATTTGTAATTATTTTTAGAAAATAACTGATACGTTGATATTTTTCTCTGAAAAAGTTTATATCAGTCCTTGCCTTGCCTAAATATTTATTTATATTCGCTTTTATAATTTCGTATATTTTAATTTTTGTGTGAATTCCAGGTAATAATTTAAGCCATAGGGGGTAAGATTGCCAAGTTGCCAGTGGCTAATTTCGAAAGGCAAGGATTCAGTTCCTACCTTCAGCAAGAGTAAATCGGCTTTTCGCCAAAAATTCCAGACGCTGTTGGCGATCCATCTGCGCTTCCATTGTCAAGCGACCTTTCGATAAGAATTTCAATTAACAGCCAACAAAGAAGTGAGCCGAACTAGGAATATAACTAACTAACTACCAACCATTTACTTACTTAAGCTATGAATTAATCGAGCAATTAATCGAGCAAACTTGAACAAAAAATTTTTAATATTTTTCTGTCTGTGCTATGAATATTCCTCCTTTTTTAAATGCAATTTATCATTAAAAGTCCGTAAATCACAAATTTAAAAATACTTAATTTCTTGTAATTTTTGGCAAAAGATAAGATAAAAAAAATTTGCATTTGTACAACAAACTTTGGCTGTTCTTTTGATTCAGTGGAGTTAGTTTCAACTGATTCCACGCTATTAATTTGTTCGCATGCGATCACAAAAATTTCCGATTGTTGCATTGTAAAATATGTAAAATGAGGAATTCAGCTTTCCACTGAAAGAAAACCTGAAAATACGACGGGGAGACAATGGGCACTACACCGTTTTTTAGGCGATGACTGCCAGATTTATTATTATATATTATTATTATTTTATTAACGAATGACTTTTATATGCGTACTCTCTACCAACTCATTCACCTTATTAGCAATCGACTATAATTTAAAATGGTTCCGTCAAGATCTAAGATTTTTATGTAAAAATGCTTTAAGGAAAGTATATTATTGAGAAATTAAAATTAAGATAAGAAATTAGACCTAATTCCCACGATCTATGGAACACACAAAAATTCTAAAGTCTAAGTAAACTATGCCGACGTTTCACGTAATTATTTTAGAGGCGAAATATATTTCACGTAATTCAATTATCGGATCGGGATGATTCGCTCCATTTCATGCAGACAAAAATTAGATTTACAAATTATAAAAGACAATTGCTTCATCGATGAAATATCACCAAATCTGATGAAGAACGCAAAATCTCTTATTGTCATTTAATTATATATTTTCAAAGACGGTCAAAAAAATCGAAGTGATAGAAAGTGATATTTTACATTATAGCCAAGAGCTACTCGAGTAGTTCAAAATGTTCAGGGCAGGGTGGTTTTTGCTTAAATTATTTCGAATATTGTTTCCTTCCACATGAGCGAAACTGTTATATCTGTATGGTGCTGGGTATTTGTCTTCAATCCCATCTCTAAATGGGTCTCTGAAAAAACTACTAATTCTAATTGTGAGTCGAATCAGAAATTATGGATGTTAAAATGCCATATTTACTTATGAAAAAAGCTCATTATTGCTGGAATCAAATTTCCTTTGCTCACCAACACGCATTTTTGATTTTCCTCACTTCATTATCTTCCGTAATTAGTTTTAGATGGGTGTTTCTGCAGAAAATCATTTAGCATAAATGACTCACAGCAATCATTTGGGTACCAATTTCAATGGCTACTTTGATTCCAAAGTTGCAGTCCAATCAGACCTATAATGTTGGTTCTTAGCCGAAACAGAAATTATTTATTTGGTTCCAAAAGGTTTAAAGATACTCAAACGGAGTTAAATTTGTTGATAACAGAAAGAATGAATGAAAATTTAAAAAAATCAGAATCTTAACTGAGCATTTTTATTACATTTCTAAGAAATATCTATATTTATTATGTTATTATGTTAACATTTATTGAATATTTATTTATTCGTTGAACAAATCATTTTATAATAAAAAAAAATTAAATTTAGCCTTAATAAAATGCAAAAAGATATTCTTTCATAAATTTGGAGATATTTTATAAAATCTCTGATTATACAACCTGAAAAAATAATTTCCAAACTCCATTCAGATTTCGCTCGCTTCAAAATACAAAAATAAAAATAAAAATACAATTAAGCAAAAAAAAATCCCAAATAAAAATATTTTTACCGAAATTAAAATCAAAACATTTTCATGCGAAAAATCAATCTTATCAATAAATAAGTATTATGACGAAAGCGATAGGTGCTAAAGGAAATGGCTAAATTTATAATGATAATCAAAAGTAGTTAATACAAAATTAAGAGTCTTAAATGATCAAAGAATGTTAAAGTTGATAACTAAATAACTTATTGCAAATAATTCACTGTAAAAATTATCGCAAAACTTAAATATATTTTATTTATTGTAAATTGCAAAGTTTCTCATCAAATTAATAAAGTCAATAAAATGATAAATAAATTGATGTATTTTTATCACAATGAAATGGACGAATCATTGAATTAATTTTAAATATATATGAAAAAAAGTTTCACCAAAGAGGAAAGTTTTTGCAATAATCCAAAAAAGAAAAAAAATTGATAAAATTATAATTTTTTATTTCGATATTTTCATTTATACATAAGCGCTTTAAAACAAATTTTAATTAAATTTTAAAAAATACGAAAAAAAGGCATAAAAACCATTTTAACGAACATAAAAGTAAGCAAATCTCGTATTTTTTAAACGAATCAAGATTTATTCGATCAAAGTGATGAACTCTTTTATGATTTTAGCACTATCTTGTGACAAAATTGTATTAAATACATTCTTCGGAACGGGGATATCGAGAAGATCCAATAATTTGTTTCATCTCCAGCAGGTAATTATCTTCGTTAATGATAATCTCTTTGATTATACGACCTGGAAAAAATAGCAGCAAACAATTAACACCTCATGTCACGCAGTGCTTGCTTTGATTGAATAGATTATAATTCGATAAGACAGTTTTGGCGAATGCCAGCCAGTTTTATTCTATCTTATAAAAAAAGAAAAATAGTACCACAATGAGTCTTCAGCACCACTCATAATAAGTTTATTTGAGCAATTAAACCGATATACGACGTATATTATCGATGGAGCAAGGCTTAATGGCTTAAAGGCAAGGCTTGCAATTTTCCCATTTCACATAACACAAAACATTCAAGGAACCCTAAAGAGTTAAGTAAATTTCATGGAAGAAAAATTTTATGTTGGAAATCCAAAATGTTTAATGACTGAAGCGTAGAAAAATTCTTAAAAATAATTAACTGCAATATTTTATATTTTAACAAAAAAAGTGATATATTAAAATATTTAGTGCATCCAAAATTAAAGAAATTTTTTTCATCTTCACCATTAAATTAGTTTCTCTAATAGTTGTCACCAGTTCAGTGCAATATAAACTCATTTCATGATATCGCAATTTCGATAAATTCATAAATTCTACTGGCTAAGTTAAAGATAAATTTCAGTTAGTGGGACAGTGGGACAGCTACAGCTAGAAGTGCCTTTCTTTCGCTTTTCCAAAACTCTGAAATTGCCACGAAATCAGCCCTAAGACGAAGGCGCATGCATCTGGCTATAAAACGCACAATCCGACTGTATATATGGCTAAAAGCGGTAAAAGTAAAAATCGACATATAAAGTGACGAATAACTAACTTATTAGCAAGGGAAAAAATTAATATGAAAAGCTGCAAATTTTTGAGCCCTCGTAATTTTCTTTAAACTGCGTGATTTAATGCCGTTCAAGTTTAGTCCATGCATTAATAACCTGCAAAGAGATCCCTTAGTCCTCACAAAACTTTGGCACTTCCATTCGCTTGCATTCCTAGCGAACTTTTTTTTTTAATTTTTTTTTTTTAATTATAGGTTTGTTCTCACCAAGAAACCAAAATTACCACTCGATCAGAACAAAAAAGTAAACCAACCGAAGCAACACTGATTTTTACCACTGGCAATTTTGGAGGAATTTTTTAGCAAATGTTTAATTTTCATTTTTCTGAAACATTTTTATGAAAAATGAACATTTTTTATTACAAGTTTAAGATAAACTCCGTCAAACGCTGTTCTAGGAAATTTACAATTTACAACCTACAAAAAAAACCTTTTCAGAATTTTTCTTCGAATTTTTCGCCACGAAGCTCATCACTATATTTTAAACCATATTTTGCGGTTTCTTATTTTTTTTGTACAGTTTTTTCTGTTTAGAAGAAGAAAGAAGTTTAAAAAATTAAATATTTTATTTATTTTAAACTGATAGAACAGAGGAATTCGATTTTTTGACCAAAAATTGGTGATTCTTGCTGGTCTTATTTTTTTTAAATATTAATCATTTATTGATAAATATTTATCATTTATCAATAAAAAACGATATTTTTTTCACTTTTGTTAGGCAATCTTACGCGATTTACATATTTATTAGTGCATTTATCAGACCGATAGACTAAATGAATTTATATTTATACGAAAAAAAAACTAAAAAATTTAAGGACTAAAATTTTATCAGTCGTTATCAATTTATTGCATTACTTTATAAAATATTTGTTTTTTTTCAGGTTACTTCTTACTAAAATATATTTTGGAAAATAAGTTTTCCTTCAAAAAATTTCTAATTTAGTAGATGTAAATAAGATGAGATGAGATATGAATAAAATGCCATCGATCTTATGATTTGAATTTAAAGGGCCTAAATTTTCCATTTCCTAAGTTGTTTTGTGCATTTTGGGAATGAAGAGATTGAAGGAAAATATAAAATATTAACACAGGTGATAATTTAAGGGAATGAATTTAAAAACGTGTCATTCTCGAACCTTTACAATAGAAAAATTGGCGTTTAATAGAAGAGGATTAAATACTAAAGGTGTGAGCCATTATGTGAGTAAGAATGGACATTTATTTATTTTTATTGAAATCGAACTATGGTACCATGCCATATACTGATATTTTAAAGATAAGAAAAAAGAATATTTCGTATAGCATAGATCAATATGACGCAGAAAGCAGAAAAAATGAGTACTAGTCTGTAATATTACATATTAGATTTTAGATTGTCAGTAGATTATAAAAATTTAGATCTGATATGAAACATTTTTAACTGGCCTATTATTGGCCCAATTGAAGGATACCATAAAGAATATCATTTATCTGCCTTGATACTATTTGCTTTTGGTGCCAACTTTTTAGGAAGAACTTTGATTTCACTAAGGAGTAGTAAAATAGCGAATAAAGAAACTATGACTTCCAAGCTGGATTTTTAAAATAAGTTTCAATAATTTGAGGCTAAGATTATAAAATCTATTACAGTTAATTTTTGCATATTGATGATGAAGTTTTGCTTTTAAAATTTATTTCTAATATTTTTCAATTCAACAGAAAACTTTTCTTTATCATAGAATACTCAAAATATTTAATCTGTATGAATTTAATTTATTTTTATATTCATAAAAATAGCTGAAAAATTCAGAAAAATTCAGAATTTAGAAATTATGGTTGAAATTAAAAATTTACTTTACCAATAGTATAACCTTTATTATTAACAGTATCACTTTTGTAATAGAGGTTAATTGGTTTTAATTTCGTGTTCGTAGTTTCGAAAATTTCCTTATCACCAAATTGGCAAACTTTCTAAAAGCTATTATTGATAAATTGGAAGAAAATTGTAAAACAAAAGGAACTTATCAATAACTTAAAGAACTATTAAAAATGTGGAGAATGTGCAATAATTTTTGTTTCCTTATTTCATTGGTGATTGCGAATTTTCAAATTAATGTCTTTGTTAGTTATAAAATGCAAATCGAGTGAGAACACGCTGGTCGAGTGCTGTGTTCTCTCTCTCACTCTCAAGTTGGGCAACATAAAACGATTCCTGATCCACTGCAGTTTGACAAGAATAAGCCTCCATTAAAAGAATCCGAATGTTAATCGGCATTTGCCATATATGCCCAGTTGACTCTATAGCAAAAATTCTCAAAATTCAAATTTTCGAGTAATCTCCATGGTGATATTGTTTTTGCTGGATCTGCCGACAGTGATAAAGAGATATTTAATAATAGCATATTGATGAGGAGGCCTAAAGACGTGTTCATTGCTGGTTAATAAAATGCTAAGATTTATTTTGCACTTCGCTTTTCAAATCCCCAGTGATCATTTTCGTTTCAGTTGTTCGCATGATTATGGAATTATTATAACCTTGTTTGGCTTCTTTGTTGTATAAAAAAAAGCTACAAAAATATTATCAATCAATTATACCATCAATTTTAAGCTGCTAGTTAAAAACATTTACAACGAAGAAGAATCGGATTATAAAAATGAAACCATCAAAATTACAAAAAAAAAAAGCCATTTAGCTCTAAATTCTATTTTATTGGAAAAATTTAACACATTGCCCATTTTCTTCCTCATAAAATTCCACGCATTTGCATTGTACGACACAAAAACTGGAAGAAAAAAATCGCGGCAGAGCATGAAAATATGAGAGATGTGGATCGATTTTTGCGAATATCATATTTTGGCCACATTTGCTTCCTATAAGCTCGCACGAATAATCAAACCATTCGTCACCATAAGAATGGGCAATCTGAAAAGAAAAGATTTATAGGAATTCGTATCCACAAATTCCCATAAATGAATTTAAATCCTCGCGATTTAGTGGAAATTTCGCTGTAAAGGAAAAGTTTCACTAGTAGCCTTCGCCATAAATTAAACCTCCTTTTCCTTGAAGTCATTAGCTGATCGACCTCGCAGAAAAAGATTACCGGAGAAAATCACCAGCTTTATGTCGAATTATTTCGGAATCTAAGCATTGCATGTGATACGAGCGGTCGATGTGCTATTTCTTGACGAAATGACTTACCGCCTCTGTGATCGCTCTTTCTGCCAATTTTTGAATGCATCTTCCATCTTTCTTAACATAATTCTCGCTTGCACATGTACATTGTTGAATGCAAGTTCTGTGATGGCTGATGAAACTTGAGAAAAGATAAAAATCATCAGTTTTGCGGTTAATCGTGACAAATTTCATGTTTTCACCACATTTTCGGTTTGTTAATTTGCAGCTATGATCATAAACTTTCTCACCCAATGCACAGAAATCTTTCGGACATTTTTTCCACTAAAAGATTTTTCATCATAAATTTTTTTAAACTGAGGATTATGATTAGGATTTTTTAATGGCAGGCTGTTTGCTTTCAACAGTGCTATTATCAGCCTTATTTGCCGATATGGTGGCCATCATCAGGCTTATAAACATAATTTCACAAGGTGCATCGCAGTTATAGTATTCAAGTGGCATCTATCATTTAATATGTTCGAAATATTGACTTCACTGAATCATCAAAAGGCCTGTAGTACTTGTAGGGCTTTTCAAAGTAGTATTTTAAAATAAATATTTTAAGAATTTTACCACTTTCGTCGATGAAATTTTTGTTAGACTTGTCTCTTTGGCTTGAGGAGTAATATTTATACATCGCTCAAGATATTCGTTCCCTGCGCACCTGCATTGTTGGACGCAAACTTGACGCCAAGGATTTCTGGAAAGCGGTAATATCGCAAAGATCCGATGGTTAACGGGGACAAATTTCATGTTTTCACCACATTTTTTGCCAGTTAATTTGCAACTGAAGTCTTCAATTTTTTCATTCAATGCACAGAGATGCATTTGCGCACATTTTGACTGAAAATATACTGAGGTTTTTTCTTTTTAAGAACTCTCACTATTACTGGTTAGATCCAGTTCCCTGGCCTGTCGCTTGTCGCACTAAATAAATCCTTTTGCGATAGAAATACCAGTGAGCCGCCAGCTGCGCGGATTTTTCCAAGGTTTATCCCTACGGGAAATAGAACCTCAGTATCAGCACTCCAAAGCAACCCACTGAATTGCTCTATCTCTTATAGTTACATTTAGATAATAAGAATGAAAAAATTCAGTGCTAATTTTCAATTTTAATAAATGTGTCAAGCATGAATCTAAGAATTTTAAGTTTTTAATTGGTAATCTATTTATTTCATTATCTTCTTACTTGTGATGATTTTGCAAGCTGTTCGATTCTACGCCGCTAATAATAAAAGAAGCTATTGCGCCATTGCTTTTTCCACTGTCTACCGCTGCTCCACCTATAAAATCTCCCAATTCTTATCAGTCCAAGTCTTGATGGATCACCTCGCCTTTGGTGCCATCTCTATTAGGACTTAGCAAGGAACAAAATGTATATGAACTCTTGTATTGGGCGACGAAGAGCCTATTTTGACCAGACACTCTGTGATGGTACCGTTAATGCAAGTTAATGCATTTGAAGGAATGACCATAGGAGATATCCAATCGGCGAATCCGTAAAATGTACCTTAGTCATGAGCGGTCAAAGGCAAATAACTTCTCATTATCCTTCACTCTCATTGGTTATGCCTCGCAGCCGTATAGCAAGGTTGAACAAATAGCGGCTACGTAGACACGGAATTTCATTTTTGTGGTGATCTCGCAACGGCTTCATAAAGGTTTCGTCAACCGGAAGAACGCATTTCTAGCTGTTGTTGTAATTTCCTTGGACATTCGGTATTGAGTAGAACTAAGGTATTAAAATCGGGTACTTTTTCAACCAACAATGAATTCATAAAGAAATAGTTATTTACAATTTTTAGGAATTATTAGGATTCTTGTTTGTAAATCGTTGTTAAACTTATTTATACCCAAGTGGTGCTGGCGACACATATGTACTTCTATCACCAAGAGACCTCTTGGCATATTTGTTTAGTCCGATAAGCCAGCGGAGCGAACCAGTAATAATGAATGTGCTCATTAATATTATTTTCCAATATGTGCTAGGCAGCAACAAGTTTAATAGAAATAATAGTGTATTTAATTAGCGCTTATGCATGCTGCTGATGCATCAAAAGAACCACTGAAAGTTAGGCACTAAAAATTACCACAATTACCACGATAACCCCAAAATCTCATGAATAATAAATATCACGAATGGGCAAAATCCGAGAGAAATCAGAGAAAAACTATAAGAAGCATAAAAATTATTTCTTTCACCTTGTTTTATTGTTAAAAATAATTTAAAAATTTCTGAGAATAATATCTTAAATTTACCACTTTCAACATTTCTGAGATTTTCATATTTTTTTTCGGAATTTTGATGCAAACCCCAAGAAAAACTTAAAAAGATACAAAAAAATTTTTACGAATTTTTTAGTTTCCGCTGATACTGTTGTTATTTGTGTTTCAGTATTTTTTATTGCTTGAGAACTGATATATGTGCATTGCTGAATGCAAATTTTATCGAGTGATAAATTTCTCGGAATTTTTTGTTGAAATTGTTGCCTGATAGTAATGAACTTCTTGTTAGAACTACATTTCAGCCCAGTCAATTTACAATCAACATCCAGAACTAACGCAGAATTCTTAAAATCATTTTGTCCTTGTGCGAATGATGACTGAAAAAAATCGAATACTGAACGATAAAATTTAAAATTTGATATTATTATTATTATAAGATATATTATAAATTATCAGAAAATCAGAAAATTATCTACAGTATTTTATTCAATAGATCTATATGATATTTTATTAATTCGATGTGATTTGCAAATTTTAATCGAATTATGATTTTGATAAAACTGATTGTGAAAGGATATTTCCGATTGAATTTTCTCAATCTGGTTTAGCATTCATAAGCCAGGAGGGCCAATCAAGACCTGCACTGGACGAGCGATGTATAAAGAATGAAATCTATTAGTGATGGCTTGGAGACGTCTTTCCATTTTAGCTAGTTGAGTTAGCCTAACCATTAGTTTTTTCGTTACATGAAGATTCGGTGAACGAATAACAAAAACAAAGAATTCGACTTAAAAGAATTACGCTATTTCACCTTTTTTTTAATTATCTTCTCAAACGACTGCGCTAAACTTCAATAAACGATTATCAAACTGTGGAAAATATCTACGACGATCAAATTCCAAATCCAAGAGATACTAATAGTTTTATGCGAAAATGAGGAAATTGCCAAGGGTCATAGAGTGCTACGAAATGACTGGAAATATGATGAATCAAGTTAGAAGGGATTTGAAAGAAAAGGACAAATCAAAAGAATAGAGCTGAGTTTAAACCAGCTTAATGACTTCGATAAAAAATGGACGGCACAACTAGTTGGGAATTCAAAGAGGAGGAAGGGACATAACAAGAAATTTTTTGACGATCCATCTATCCAAGAATCGATCAGTAAGATAAACAGGTTGAAAACCAGATTAACGATAGAACGATTGCCGTCACTGAATCAAATTGCACTGGACACACTAGAAAGCTATTATGGTCGGTAAGAAAGCCGACATCATACATTAATAAAAAGGTTGTTGAGTACAGATAAAGTACGAAAGATTATGAAATATTTAGAGAATTCCTATCGATATTGCCTTAATCAGAAAGCGCCAGTTGTGACGCGGAATCACAAACACTACTGGCGTTAGTCGAAAATGAAAATGAAGCCTGAAAACCAAAGGAGAGTAGAGACAAACATCATATATTAGTCTATTCGAAACCAAAAGCAGATGGCAGATGAATGGGAAATATGAGTTCTAGAGAGAAGCACTGGAGTGATGCGAAACTGAAAAAGCTTATCACGACACGATAAAAATAATAAAGGAGAACGGATTATTTTCCAAGTACCTGAACAACTGCAGTTATAAAGCAAAGTGCTTTCATTGCAAAGGTCAGCATTTATCAGCATTCCCTAAGCAACGAAATATTTTTCAACAGTAACCTACAATCATGAACTATACAGCAAAATCGAACACACAGGGAATAAAATCGTTATTGATGTGTTGCGAGATCAAAATCCAGATTATCCATGTTCCAGTGTATGGAAACGACGTTATTATTTGATACTGGACTGGACACAACATTCTTACATAATCGAATCTCTTGTAAACAACTCAATTTGACCCGTTACAAAATTCTCTGAACGAGTGAATTTCGAAATAAGAACAGAAACGAACCAATAAAAGCAAAGGCAAATACGACAAAAAAGTTCTTACAACCAATTCTGCGAGCAAAAATTGCAAAATTATCATACGAACAACTTAGGCAAAAAGCTTTCGGTACCTATCGCGTCTAAGACACCACAGATAATCATTGGTAACAATTTATTCGAAAGATTTGATATTGAACGACCAAAACGACTGATCTCCGATTTTAATTTATATCACAGTGAAATCGGTAATTTTTTAGCCGTGTTTTGGTCAATAAATCGCCATCTGCCATCATACATAGCACCTATTAATCTCGTAACGAAGGACAACTTGGACTTCGACCAGTTCTAGTCAATAGAACGAATAAATATATGGAAGCATAGAGCAAACAGTGAATGATTTAGTTATATGACAAATTCTCCAGCTAACAAATTGCTGGCAATGTGGAAATGTGTAAATAACGAAGAAGGACATTACCGAAACCTCGCAACCAAAAATACCTAGCAAATATGGCAGATCACTCGGGTGTTTGAAAGCCACAGTTTGGGAGTAAGAATGGTAAACTACCTGGTCAAACAGCTGGAGTCGATCAAATTTGCGGTTACCGTATGGACAGAAAACCGGTAACCAGTAATTTTAAGAGCTGCTAGAAAAAGAAAAATCTAGGATAGCTTAGGATATTTATTTATTATTTATTTATTCTGTAAAAAATAGAACGCTTCTCACAGATCTCTTATATAATATGGTATTGACTAACCAAAAGGAGGACGACGAAAAACATTATCACCAGTTGAAAATTTTTCACAACTAAAAAAAATACTAAAATATTATATTATAATTTGGATTTATATTCAGTATAGAAAAATTAATCTGTCGGAGAAAATTATTCGTGATAATAAAAATGATAAAAAATGATAAAAAGATTTCGGATTATATTCCGTATTTTTAATGAATCTCTTTGGTTTAAATTTCATAAATTTTATGAAATGATTTTCTGGAAAATAGTTCTGAAATTTTTTGAAAAACTTCATCGATATTTTCATATTTTGCATTAAAAAAATTATTTTTTAATAGGGAGTTTAGAAAGAATTGTTTTGCTATATGCAATTTCTACGAACCTTATAGTTTATCAAAATTAGTCGACAATATTTATCAAATTATGAATAATTTTTCGTGAAATGGTCAATAAATAACGTGCGATTGAGAATTTTTTATTTGTAATTGTAATGGATCAATTGATACAATAGAAAAATATAAAAATATAGCATCGCCTTATTTAATTTAAATTGATTTTTTTTTGGATTTTTTCAATGCCATATTTTGCGTCCAATACTAATACCATTGATGAATTTACGCACCGTTATATCCGATTATATGGCTCATAGGCCAATGAATTGAAATTTACTTTTCATAATTAAACAGTATTCGGTAGTAAACTGTCCAAAAATCCGGGTGATGCTGGTGACTCACCTGTATTTTTATCGCCAAGGACTTCCTGGCATAGTTGTCTCACGCGACAAGCCAGCAGAGCTAGTCTAACCACTAATGGCGAGGGTTCTTTAAAAAAATATTCAACAGTATTACATATTTCAACTCATGCGAATGAACATTTTGAATTATAAGTTCCACATAAAATCGAGGTTTTTTATAAAACCTCTTGTAACAGAATGCCTTTAAATTCTTCTGCGAAATTCCATTGGAATCTACCTCATATCAATCTTTTAAAAATATTTTTTCAATGAAACTCTTCACTATAATTTTACCCATATTTCTCAGCTTTTTTTTGAGGCTAAACGAGGAGAATACTGCACGACTAATTTCTGTTCGCTGTGCAAGAATCTTTCATTCTCCTTACACTCTTAGAGCTCCTTAGGAAAAGAACTATCGAATTGGAGCTTCGGATAATCATCGTTTTGAGACGTGGGAGTTCTGGTCTTTCTACAAATTATCACTATCACTATAAAAAATATATTACTGGCACCAATAATTATGTGACTCACTTTTTTTAAATTATTAAATGCAAAAATGTGCCGCTCATAGAGGTCATACCACATTTTTGATATAAAATAAATGTTGAACATCAGCAGAGATAAGGTATTCCAATATTCCAAATTATTATTATGATTGTGAATTGTTATGTAAAGGCTTTAGCTAAACCACTTTGCTTTGGCGATCGCCTCAAACTTTCACGTTTTTGTTTTTTATAGCGATTTGCAGATGCGATAGAGAAGTGGTACCAGCTTTCTTTCGTAATTTATTGAATAAAACTCGAATCATTTTCCGACTTTTCTGAAATTTTCTCTTCATTTTAGCCAAGAATCGATCATTTAATTTCGGAATTATATAAGGCAAATGGATAGAAATGAGAAAAGCTGAAAAGCTACGTCGTTACATAGCTTACGTCGTTTTTAATCGCCTATTTTTGAAATGAGCATATCGGAAAATTTCTCAAGGATTTTACACTAATGCGTGAGTAGATTTAAAGATTTATACACTAAAGCTGTAGGCGTTCGTTTCAGTGAAAAATTAGAGAAATTAATCTCAAATTCATTTCATTTGCATTTTCATACAAATCATTTTTATTAGCTTCGATTTAGGTTTATTAAAAATTCAATTCAAAAAATTCAAATAATTCAGCCGAACAGAACACTTAACGATTACAAATACGACCATATCGAAAGCCGTAATTTAATATTTTATGCGACTTTAATTTTATGCAGTATCGCAGTATTTTTCATTTTCGTCGCAAAGGTCTGTTAAATATCAATGTTTTCAATTTCTTGTGATAAGTGATAATTTCTCGCATGGAAGAAAGAAAGCGGAAAGTGAACTGCTAGCAATAGAACAGCTGATGAAAATATAATAATTTTAAAGTACTCTAAGCATAAATATAATATTGGCTTTCGATGAGCCCAGAAATTCTATTTGTAAGTTATCTGTCTGCTAAAGATTGTAGTTTTAAAAATTGCTGACTGCTTGCATGAAAAAATCGCTGCATTATTTTTTAGCTGTGACTTTAATGTGATAGCTTCGTAGCGAAAGAATATTTTTTTTCAAGAGTCCTCACCATTACTGGTTAAACTCGCCCCACTGGCCAGTTGCATTGGGCAATGTGCCAGAGAGTCCCTTGCCGATAAAAATACAGGCGAGTTGCCAGCATCACCCCAACCTTAGTAGAGGTGTACTCCTTGAATCGAATTTCAGCACCGGACGCTCCTTATTGAGCAACAACCCACTGATCTATCTACTACCTGCAGGGAAATAATATATTATAATACAAAATATATTCTGCCGTTGTGAGAAGATTGGATGGGAATTGCATTTATTGTTCTAATGAATCGTTCACAAAATGCATAGGCTTGCGAAATTGAGACGAATTGCCCAAGGTAGTACAGGCCATTGCCGAACATTTTCTTATTGTTGATTTTCCTCATTGCGACCCTTGCGTAGGACAAGTGATATCTGCGTGACCCTTAACTCTTGTTCATAAATGTATTTTTATTGAAAAATGGTCGGAGTATCGCGATTTTCCGTGGTTTGTTTATCGCCAATATATTGTATGAGGGCTGAGAAAAACTCTGAAGCAGGTGACTCCCAGTGATTGGCAATACAGAACTGTGGTCTGTTTTCTTCATTCATTTGCAACTCCCTTAAAATTTTATATTTAAATTTTCTGTATTTTAGTATAACGTTTGTATATCAACTTGGCAGAACGAGGGATTACTAAATTCATTGTAAAGCGTTACGCGTATTTAATCATCATAATATTATTTCGCCACACTTATACGAAGATCCACTGGAGATAGGAAAATCATCGACGAGTTTAGCGGTGTCTCCCTTGCTAAATTTAATAGTTAATGCTAAAAATTTGAAATTTGAATTATATAAAAATGCTAAATTTTTATGCTAAATTTATAATGCTATAATGCTAAATTTTTGTGAGTAATAAAAGAGTCTTGGCAGCGAATCCAGCCAAAATAATAGCCTGAGAAATTCTCAAAATACGGTACTATTCAATAGTTTATTAGCGCCTGGGATCTCTCTATGGTTAGAAAGTTGCATTTACGGTTAATTTTGTCGATCTACCCAGCAAAGAAGCATAAAACATGTTATAAAATTGCTAACAGGCCATTGTCACCATTTACCATTATAGAATAATCATTAATCGCTCTTTAATAATTGAGGTGTAAGTAACTATTGTTCATATTCATTACTAGATTAATAATATCATGGACCAAACGTTTTTGTAGTACATATAAATATATATATGCCAGGTAGCTGGAGAAAAAAACTTGTAGATTTCAGTCGGACTTGGCTTGCCAAATGTATAAACACGCATCTCTTAAATAAGACCTTTAGCGCGTTTGTTCATTGGCCCTATAATTTGGCGAATTATCGCAAACATTTTATAGAATTAATTTATAAAATCGAGAACAAGAGAATCAAAAAGAAATTTATATTTTTTAAAATAAACCTAGTAGCTGTAAAAACCCGGTCGCTTATAATGGTCGAGGCCGACAAACCATGAGAACTAATAGGATTATTTATTCTACGTGCAAAATAATATTGAACGAATACGAAGGCACTGAAAAAAGCAAACGGAAAAATTATGAAACGAGTGATAATAAACGTGTAGATAGATATATTATGGTAGAATTAACAAAGAATGAAATGAGAAAGATTCAGGATTTTCGTGCAAAATTAGATAAATCGAGGGGATGAAATTGTTAAGAACGAATATTAGCATGGTCCTTCGGAACTGGTCCTCCAAGGTCACCAACGAACGCTTCTTGATCAGTCTCTTTTAAACCACATGGTCTGAGAAATTCCTGACCAGCTTCATGGATCCATTTATTTGCTATCCACTTAACGCCTACAAGTACCGGACAAGCTGCATGCTGAGTTCTATGGTCTCCTTCACCATTGCGCGCTAAATTGTACCAAAATAGTGCGCTATTCTGAAAAAAATTCAGCATTTTTTTATATGATAAATAAATGAAAAAAATAAAAAATTGCAAAATAATGATATAAGGCAAGTTCTAAGGCTTCATACTTTCGAAGGCAGAACTGTTGTTTTAATCGGAATAAAAACAGTTGCACCACCAATTTCAGGCTGACTCATCTGAACTGATTTTATATAAACCTGGGAAAACATGCGCTAAAATTGATGCCTAGTGAATCAGGATTTATTCATATAATTTATTCTCTAAATGAGCAATGAATTACGGCAATAGCGATATAAAATAAAAAAGACTGATATATTCTAACTATTGCAATTTTTTACGAATTATTTTATTTTCAAATTTTAGCAAAGAACTTTTATTTGGATTTCACTAGGCATTTGCATACTTTTTGCCATTTTGTTCTTTTTATTCAAGTAAAAGTAGCACTTACGTAGAACAACACAGTTGCGATGCGATTACCTTCAGGAAGAGATTCAAGGAGTGGGCTGTTTTTCTAAAATTATAAACTCTTTAAGAGAAATACCTATTGCAGTACATAAAATTAAATATATACATTCGATAAATAATAAGAAAAAAGTTGAAAGGAGCAGTTAAGTGAGGTTTAATAAAGAGCAGTTTTCCTCTAATTTCATGAAAGGTAAACAAAGGTGAACTCTGAAATTTTTAGTTTCGAAAGTTATTCAATGCATAAAAGATTGCTATTTTCATCGATTCAGTGGTAAATCATATACCCCGAAAAAATCGTAATGCACATCATAGAAGCCACCAATACCATAATTCGCGATCTAAAATGTACATGGAATAAAAAAATAAAAATTGGAATTTCAAAAATTCGTTTATGGGAGGGAAACGATCGTTCGTGGAACATAAGTTGAAATATACTTGAAGATCTTCGGCAAATTTTAGATCCAAATTTGTCATAAGATGAATTCTTCGATTCAGACGCTCCACTATTTCGTGCTCGTTGTTTTCCAGCCAAACACTACAAATTCTTGCTTGCTTCCCGAATCAGAAGGTTTCATACAATTTTCATAATATTGTAAAAATAGAAGTAAACAAGAAATGAGGAAACGTGTACTTCTTACTTATACGGAAAGAAGCAGGTTCCCTTCTCCGCGTTGCTGGACTCACAACTTGAGCCCTTTCAAGCTAAAAATAGTCGTTTATGAAGGCATAGGCAACATAAGTAAGAATATGATAAAACCCGTGGTTTAATGCGACATCTTTGAAATTATCATTGCTAATGCTTAAATTCTGGTCTCAGTGGGAAATATTTCAAAGTTTACCCGCGAATGAGAAACTTCTTGAATAATGCTGATTTCTTCGTTAGATATCACATCATGAAAGATAACCGCCAACGGATCAAACCTTACGATTTCAACTTTGAATGGAGCGAGCAGTAAATAAGGATGATCTTGTTTATAATAGCAGTAAAGTTTTGAAATTTCTTCATCGCCCTTAAAAAAATTTCTCAAGTTTTTACATTTAAGTTTCCCAAGAAAATCGACATCAATGTGCACGGTTCGGGAATTTCGGGAAAAGAAGGAAAAAGGTCAGTGAGGGAGATTCCGTTGCAATTTTAAAGAATTATACAACTATCGAACTGCGGTATAATAACACTTAAAAATGATTTAGTTACCCAAGTCTGAGGTTGCGACTTTATCAAGTATGGCAATTAATTTT